TGCCTAGCTCTCCCACTGCAAGTCCCCCCCAGTCCCACCCTGTGGGCGTGGCATGATGGGCGATGAAGCCACGGAGGCCGAGTAAGTGGCCTGGTCCGGTGCAGTCGCCTGCTTTCCCTGTGACCTGGTGCTCCGCACGCCAGGGACTATGGAAGCCCTCGAGTCCACTCGCTGGCGTGGGCTGAACACTCCACCAGGGTCCCGCGGCTTAGCCCGGGGTGACAATGCACCGCGTCTGCCCACACGCCGAGTCTGCCGGCATGTCACCACGAATCGTGTCCGCCTTGAGCACCACGTGGTTTTGCCAATGGTCGCTGGAAAGCCACGTGCACAGCGGCCCTGCCGCCCACTCGGTGGGCGGGACCCGCTGGCGCCGGTGAGTGGCTCAGTGTGGCGCTGCCGTCTCACCCGCAGCGGGAGGCACAGGGCGACGGGGCTGCCACCAGGGCACTCCTGGTTTTGGTTCAGCTCCTCTCCGGAGCTGGTGAGAAGAAACAGGAGCGAGAATGAGGCGTCCGCACTTGTGCCGGGGCGACCCTTTCTGCGAAAGCTGGGTGACCCCGGGCAAACGCCAGCACCATTCACTCCTCTGTGAACCAGGTGACCGTGCCGTCGCCGTCCCCGCAGTCAGTCCCGGGCTCAGTCACTCGGCCTGGGGCGATGGCTGTGTCCTCCGTCCTCAGGCCCGGGCGGCAGGCAAGGAGCAGGGACTGCACGAACCATGGGCGCAGAGCAAGGGGCGGAGACCTGGGTTTGAATTCGGACTCTTCCTAGATGGCCCTCATCCCCCTGAGCCGCCATCTAGTTTTTACTTTTTAAAGATTTTTTTTTTTTTTTTAACAAGAAGTGACAAAGAGGGAATGACAGATCTGCCTTTCACTGGTTTATCCCCAAACAGCTGGGGTTGGTCCAGGCTGGAGACAGGAGCCTGGCACTCCATCCAGGTCTCTGCCATGGACGCAGGAACCCAAGTCCTTGGGCCATCTGCCACCTCCCACGGTGCACGTCAGCAGGGAGCTGTACGCGAAGCGGCACAGCAGGACTCGAACGAGGGCTCCAACGTGGGATTCTGGCATCCCAGGCAGCACCGAACCCCGCTGGGCCACGCCATGCAGGTTCATGCTATCTGTTAATGCGACTCTCTAAGTGAAAACCTTTGGTTCTTTCGTCATAGGAGCCACACTTCAAGCGCTCAGTGGCCATGTGTGGCCAGAGGCTCCCGTGCCGGCCCACACACGACAGCACACTTGCATCAGGGCAGGCATCCTAGGACAGCGTGGCGGCCCGGCCCAGGCAGCGGTCAGTGCGCGGCGCGCTCGTGCTACCCCTCCCAGGCTGCGCGAGCCCCTCCTCACTTGACCTAAGGTGCACTTGTCCTTGCAACCGGTGCAGCTGCTGGGACTACAGGCCAGCGACTGCCTCCCTCCCCGTGTGGGCAAGCAGCCGACTCCCTGGACCTCGCACTCTGCATGGGCGTGGCTCAAGCCCCCCCCCCCCCCCCCAGCGCTGCAGCCAGGACTGCACGGGCCTGAAACACGGGGCCATCACAGACACACGAGCACGGCGGGCCGGGGAGAGCTGCACGCGGCCTCAGCATAGCCGGCTCCAGTTCCGCTGCTTGCCAACGGAGGAACCTTGTGTAGAGAAGACAGAGGTCTTGTGTGGTCTGATTCTTCACTGCACAGGGCGTAAATCTCCACGTCGCTGGAAGATCAAAAGGAATCGTGTGTGCAAAAGCATCCGCGAGCTGAGGCGCGGACTGAGGTCCCCCATGAGGGCGGCCCCGGGCGGTCAAGCGTTTGCCACCTCTTTCTCTGCACTGCCCCTGCCTAGGAGCCCTTCTCCAACCAGGCAAGGCTCGCTCCTCCTAGAGGCCACTGTTGGGCACAGAAACGGGGTCACCACACGGGTGACACAACCTGTTCCGCTGAGGCCCCGTGGCGCAGGCGCCCGGGCGGCGTCACATGGACAGCACGCGGGAAGCCCTGCCCTGGTGCTGCAGGATCTGCAGAGCCGGCTCTCCTGTGCGCCAGACACATGATGCCTCCTGGACTCACTGTCCAGCTGAACACCAGAGGCATGCAGTGGGGTCTCTGCGCTGGGCAGGGCCATCCTGGAGCCGCAGTCCGCTCACACCATGAGCAGCATTGTGGCAGAGAGCATTCGCCACGCGCCAGGCGCTGGAGGAGAACCTCCCGTGCCTACCTTTTCATCTTTGCCATCCCCCTAAGAGTTTTACCGTCCCCAAGGTGAAGCAAAGGTAACACGCCTGAAGTGACACACCCGATAAAGGACAGGGCAGTGACCCCAACCCAGACCTGAACCATCCCGGAGCTGGCTCTGCACGAGGCCTTTTGCTGCCGTCTTGTGATCCTCCTCTCCAAGCAAATGCTGCGGCTGTGGAAAACATTCCTGCTCTAGGAGCCCGGGGTCAAGGTGGAGCCCGGGGTCAAGGTGGAGCCCGGGAAGGCGAGGAGCGGAGACGCCTCCCAGAGCTGCCGAGGTGAGGGGCCCACCCTTGCACAGGAGCCCAGGCGGGACCTGCATCCCAAGGACAGCCCTGACTTGTGCCCCACGTGGCCTCGGGGAATTGGTGACACTCACGGTGCTGGTCCCCAGGCTACTAGCGGAGCAGGGCAGGGGGCGTGACTTGCCACCGGTGACTCCTCCAGCGGCTCAGTTTTAGGCTAGGGTGGTCGTCTCAGGCAGGATGGGTGCGAGGGAGCAGGAGAGAAAACAGGTACAGACAAGGTTGTGTGAGGAACGGAAACACGTGGGAGTGACCTTTTTCTGGCCAGTGAGGTACTCAGAAGTGCTCTATGACAGCCTGGTGTTTGAACGGTTCTGGGTTCAAGTCCCAGCTGTGCTGCTCACTGGCTACGCAGTGGTTCTGGTAGTGATGTCCACACCACAGGGTAACAGAGCCAGCAGTAGGGCCCGTGTTGCCCTGATCTTAGGAAAGCAGAATTACATAAAGGTACTAGTGTCCACGTCGTGGAAGCTCTTAATAACAGCAATTATTGTGAGACTAATTTTCTCAAAAAAGATTTATCTATTTGAAAGGTGGAGAGAGAGAGCGAGAGCGTGAGCGTGAGCGTGAGTGAGCAAGCAAGCCGGGAGCCAGGAGCTTCTTCCAGGTCTCCCATGTGGGTGCAGAGGCCCGAGCACTTGGGCCGTCCTCCACTGCTTTCCCAGGTGCATTAGCAGGGAGCTGGATTGGAAGTGGAGCAGCCGGGACTTGAACTGGTACTCAAACAGGATGCTGGCGTCGCAGGCAGGGGTTTAACTTCCTGTGCCACAATGCTGCCTCCTATGAAACTATTCCTAAAATTTATTAATCCTCCCCCTCAAAGAAAACCAACAAAAAACTGCACAGCATTTGCAGGTCCCATGAGCTGCTGGCCCCCGTCCAGCCCGGCACACATTTTCGGCACCGGCTCCTCATCTACAGCCAGCGCCCTACGAACCTCAGCCAGGCAGCGCTTCAGGCTGATCGGCCCCAGCCTCCTGTAGCCTTGGGAGCGGGCACATCCCAGGACTCCAGGGACCCAGGTCACTCGGCGTGCAGACCCCCGAGGCGCCAGCCAATGTGCACGCGTGTGCATGTCCGAGTGAGGATACTGCACAGGTTTTGCCCTCGAAGGGGTCGTGGGATAGCGAGGAGGAGCTAAGTCACCCTGTGACAATCCAACAATCCACGGGCTCTTCCTTGCCATCTCCCACCCCCACTCGTTCACACACAGCGGCCCTTGCTCTAGGCCCCGTGTGGAGCACACGGACTTCACCCTGAAGTGGAGCGAAGGCGTTCGGCCTCAGGCCAGCCCCATGGGCCCTCTTGCCCACCCCTGCCCATTTTTATCAGAGCCTCCTGACGGCAGGGCTGTGAAGTCTCCCCTGGAGGGGACTGTGGGTCCCTGGACTGACCTTGTCCTGATGTGTTTGATCAGCTGCTTCTGGCCTGCGCTGGGGGACCCGGGGCAAGAGGAGGCGGCAGGAGCGCTGTTTGATCAGAGAAGCTGGGGAGCTGCAGGGCCGCCAGCCGCTCTCAGCCCTGTGCTAATCTCTTCTCAGAGGACAAAGAAAGGAGGATGCTCTGGTAGACGGGCCCAGGGTAACCTGGGGACAGCCTCCCTGCCACACGCCGGCCTTCACAAGCAGGGGTGTGCCCCGCGTGGGCCAGACTCAGCCTCTGCGCGCCCAGCACAGCGCCCCCTACTCGGAAACCAAACTGGCAGGGGCGGCCCCTGTCCTCCAGCTGTTTAGGATGCGATGCGAGATAAAGCAAGGTGCAACACGCCCCGGCCGTCCAGGGTAGGACACGGGCTGGGAATCTCAGAATGCAGATTCCCAGACGGGGGGAGCTGGGCGAGCTCGTCCTCGACCGCGGAGCTCACCGAAGCCAGGCCGAGCGCCGCCCCTCTGCCTAGAGGCGGGCGGAGGAGGACACGGCAGGGTGGCGACTCCGAGGGGAGCGAGGACCCACAGCTGCGGGGCAGGAAGCAGCTCCCCTCTTCCCCACAACACCTGAGTCTGAGATCCGAGTCGTCCTCTGCTTGCGCGAGCAGGCCATGTCCAGGGCACGCCCACACCGCGGCACAGGACACCCTCCTAGCGCCTGCGTGCAGACTTGCAGGCGTTAGTAACAACATTTGAGTCGATTCACCAAAACCAGGCTTTGAATTCACACCACAATTCTGTAAGTGCAATGATTTCCCCTTTACAGCTGGGAGCTGGGAAGGAGCGTGGAGCGGCGAGCACCTCGCCAAGGTCATGGTTATTCAGGGCACAGCTGGGGAGGGCCGGGCCAGACACCACCGCTGCCCACACCTACTCCCGGGAAAGAGGGCTTAGCAAATGAGACTCATGTGACAGGGGAGCGTTTCAGTCCCCAGGCCACGTGGTCACGGCCGGAAGGCACCCAACAGCCCCGAGACCAGGCCCTGCAGCCCGAGCACCTGACACCGCCAGGCCAGAGAGAAAACAGGTCTGTGCACAAAGTGTGATTTTCTTCAAGAATGCATTTTATTTATACACACGAGTACATGTTGAACATCGATAATGGTTTGCAATGCAATGTATACAGCGGCACGTGGGGGGTTGTCTATGCAGCCCCGGGAAGGGCTCCTGTCAGTAATGTGGTCCCCAGGGGGCACCCAGCTTCTGTCTCCCTCGCACGCCCAGCTGCAGGTGCCCCGAGTTTTGGAGTTTCCACTGTGCCTCTGGTCTAAGTCCTACCACCTCCAATGTTTCCATGGCAACAAAACAATTAATAACTCGTCCCCAAAACTCCCTCTAGCCCTAAATCTGTTTTACTTCCCCCTTCCTGGGACACTGGGCCAAGCAGGCCAGGGCTGGGGCTGCTCAGCTCCTCATCTGGTTATGCCAACTGAAGCCCCCACCACTCCTGAAGCAGCCACTCAGGTCCCACCCAATTCTGCGGCCCCCACTCCCCAGAACACCGCTCAGTCCTTGGAGCTGCCCGCCCGGCTCCCGCTCCTCAGCACAGGAGACCTGTGAAGGCACAGCCCCAGCCCGTCCACTGTGCTGGCCGCCAGGCAGCAGCGCGGGCTCGGAGGACCTCCCAGGACGCCCTCACCGCTCCTGATTCTGCGGTCCACCTGAGCCTGCGGGCAGAGGACAGACTTCGTGTCCCCAGGCACCGCCCACCTCTCAGCCCCTCACCACCAGCGCTCGCCCGGGGGACGAGGCTGGGGCGCCTCCGGAGGCAGTGCAAAGCGGAACGCCCCACACAGCCCGCCCCACTGCGGTCCTCTGGTTCCTGGCCCGGCTCAGGGACCAGGTCAGTAAGGGCCTCACATTCCTGCGGGGCCCCTGTGCTTGAGCCACCTGTTCGCACGTCACCGTGAGGACAGCTCCTGCTGCGCAGCTGACTCACTGCTCCCACAGCAGGGCTCCAGCTACGACGCTGACCACCGTTCCCTCCTCACAGTGGATCCCGGGCTCTGGGAGTCACGAAGGCTGGGGGCCGACGGAACCAATCCACGGGTCCCAAAACGTCGGCAGACTTCTCCACAGCCCTGCAATGCCTCAGCTGGGCTGCACGGGCAGCGCCTCCGGAATGAGGCAATCAGAAGGTCTCTTGGGCAGAAGCGCAAGAAATGAATAAAACGGCCAAGCAGAGTGGAACAAGCGCAATGGAACCCATGCCTGGGCTTCTCCGGGGGGCGACTGTGAACTCAGCCGGCAGAGGCAGAGGCAGAGGCAGGGGCGCAGTGGGGCCAGTAGCTGATTCAGGCGGGCCCTCCCTGCACTCCGACCAGACCCGCACTGGGCCCCGCCCCGCACTGAGGGCCCCTGAGGTCTCAGCAAGTCCCGCCTCTCCACTGGCCCCGCCCCGCAAGCTGCCACTCCGGGGAGTCAGGGCCCGGCCCCGCCGTGGATCTCCAGCAGAGCCCGAGCAGGACAGCGTCTGCCGCTGGGCTAGAACTTCAGTTCTCCGTCCAGCAGCCCTTCAGCCAAGGTCACTGTCCCCTGCAGGCCCTCGGCAGCTGACTTTCTGCTTCCGTTCGTTTTCTGGCTGGAGTCTGAGCCACACTCGCGCCGTGCTGTGCGAGGAGCTGCAGCCTTGTGCGCTGGGCTTGGTGCCAAGGCCTGGACGCACGTGCTCCCCCTGCCTTTCAGCGGGCTTTACCTGCTGCCACTTGCCATGTGAGGGCTTCCAGTGGCTCCCAGGGCTAAGCCCTAAGGAGACGGGCAGCCCTGGTCGCAGCAGCAAGGTCTTTGCAGGGAGGCAAAGTCTTAAAGGCTTGAGCACCATCTTCTGGTCAGTCCCTGGCTTCTGAGGCCGACTCTCTTTAACACTTCACTTACTTCAGAATGGGGAGATTCTGAACTGATAGCCCAAGCGATTTGCCTATCAACACAGGGACAGGCCAGAGGCCAGCGGCTGCCTGGGAAGCGCTGGCTGAGCCCTCTGCGGAAGCTCTGTGGGGGCCAGCTGCCTGTGCACACGGTGGTCAGCGGGAAGGCTCTGCGGCCTGCCCTGGCACAGCGCAGCCCCGCCCACACTGAGCCCTGCCACGAGCCGGGCCTGGGCAGGGGGCCGGGCCTGTCTCTGCCAGTCTCAGGCTCCAGGGCTGGTGGCCAGATCAGAACACCCCTCCCGGGAGTCCAGCCACACTGTGTGGCAGGGAGGCCTGCCTGGTGTAAACACGCCTGCACATTGCAACCTTTGGCTTCGAGGAAAGAAGGCGGCTAGTGATTCTCTCTAAACGGGGAACCATCCATCCAATTGCACTTCGTAATGGCTTCCACGAACCATTAATTATCAGATTATATCTTAGGAACTAAAGATAAGAAAGCTTCATGAAATTCCGACTCCAAAGGCTCGGTGCCCTGTGGCAGCGGCGGCCCGCAGCCAGCACTAACCGCTCCTCACGGCAGGACGCACGGCCTGTGAGGACGCACGGCCTGTGAGGGCGCACGGCCTGCAAGGCAGGCGGAGGTGTCGGCCTCTGAGTGCAGGAAGAGGATGAGGCTGAGCATGCAGGGGAGACTGCGGGCGCCGCCTTCAGGAAGGGACACCACGACGGAAATACTGGAAAGGTGGGGACTGTCTCCGGCCCCAGATGGTCTCCATTACAGCCAGGCGGCAGGAACACCCCAAGGGCTCTGTCTGGAAGAGCTGTCCCTCCTGCCAGGGAAAGACCTCCCTGTACCACCAAGCTGGGCACAGCTTCTGGGTGCAGGGGAAGCCCGACCCAGGTGGGGGGCAGGGGCACGTGAGCTCAAAGCCGGGGCCCAGGATGGGCTGGCTGGAGGCACTGGCAGCATTTCTAACTGCCATTCTGCCACCAAGCACTGCCGGCACACGGCACGCCCCACTGCTCGTGCCCTGGGTTTTGGAAGCTGTCCTTGGCAGGGGATCTGGCGGTGTCTCAGAGGCCAAAGGCACAGGCTGCCTGCTGTGGCAGATGGTGGTGTCAGACGTGTGGGCTCCACGGGAACAACGATGCTCCGCGTGCTTTCCAAGGGAGCCGCTCTGGTTGGCCGTAGGCTCAGGACAGCCGGGGACGCGGGGCAGATGGCAGCGACCGGGCCGTCTCTGGTGCACACGCAGGAGCCCCTCCCTTGGACGACAGCCACTCACTTGGCTTCTCCACAGATCAGGGTCACGGTGCCGTCCAGCAAGTCCTCCACAGTCACGGCCACGAGCTCAGAGCTGGTCTGAGGTGTCTGAGACTCCGGCAGCGTCACAAACACCTGCGACCCGGCCAGCTGGGCCTCCTCCAGCGTGATCACCTGCTCTGCCGAAGCCGCGGGCTCCGCGGTCTGGATCACCTGAAAGGGAAGGCCGGGAGGCTGCTCTGGCAGTGGCCGTGGCTAGCGCCCCAGAATGTACACGGTCCCATCCCAGGCTGTAATGATGATATTTATGTCTTCACCTGAGGAGAGCAATTACACATGCCTAATGGGAAGAGGCAAGCCCAACACACCAGCGATGCAAAAGAGAAGGCAGGCACACCATTTAAATAACTGCGCACGAAATTGCTGTAATTTTGCTCAGTACGCCGTCGCAGGGCGCCGGGACGCTATGATTACACGCCAGTGAACACAGGCTCCGTTTCTCGCCCTGGGTTTCCCTGTCTCGAGGATTCACTGCAGCCCCAAGTGCCGTGTGAGAGGAATGCTACTGAGGGTGGCTGGTCTCATGCTCGAAGCACGGACACGAGTGGCTACCAGAGGCCTTGGCTTGCCAAGGGTGGCGCCTCCGGGCCTCTGCTCGGCCGAGGCTGTCCGTGGAAGCCAGCAGACGGAGGGCCTGAGAAGGCAGAGAATGTGGACAAACTCTAGCCTCTGACCTGTGCACCCCAGAACAACGAGATGCGGTGAGGTTTACGAGGCAGGTGCCCCCGGAGGGCACGGTGAGGACAACTGCGCTGCTCCTCTGTGAACCGGAGCGGAGGGAGCAAGGGTGATGTCCAACTGATAATTCACCAGGAGGGGAGTTCGTGGACTGTTTTTTTGTTTTTATTTTTAAAGGAACGAAGCCTCCTCCCTTCCTTTTTCTCAGAGGGCATCTTACAAAAAAACAAAGCGGAATGGTGCTGGCTGATGAGCAGCCTGCAGCGCTGCCCCCCTGGCCACATCTCTGCCCCTCCAAGGGCCTGTGAGGACAGGGCTGAAAGTGACTGACCCAGGGCACTGGACAGTGGGACGGCCAGACTCAGACCTCCCTCAGTTTCCGGTTCCTCTCTAACCCACTGCAACCCACAGAACCCAGCCCCGCTTCCTTTCCGCCCTCTGTCTTTGGAGTTGGGAAGAGTAAACGAGGACCTGGGGGCAGAGAGAGGCTGGATTACACGGGCTGCGGAGGCAGGTTTTTCATCAAGAAGAGGTGGGTTATTTTTGCCCAGGTAGAGGGGGCAGCCCAGGGGTGACAATGTGTGCTGTGTCCAGCGCGGGGGAGCTGCCCAAGGGTCTGTGCTGCAGGTGGTCCCTGACCAGCACAGGTTCAGCCGCCCTTCCCCACGACTTCCTGCGACCCTCCCCACGACCACCCCCGACTGTCCCCTGCCGTGTTCCTCAGGAGGTGGGAAGGCTGTGGACGGTGAGAAAAAACCTCTACAAGTTCTCCCTGGTGGGGCAATCTCTCAAGGGACCCTGAAAGAGCCCCAGAGAGTCAGCCTGGGGGCTGACAGCGCTCCCGCCAGAGAAGCCCCGGGGCCCACGCCAGCTTTCTGTGCAGTTGAGGGCCTTACTCACCTGTACCACCTGGGAGGCAGCTGCCTGGGTTTCGGCGCCCATCACCTTTGGGTGCTCAGACTCCAAGTGACCGTCGCGCTGGGCCTGGGAGGTGAAGAGCTCCCCGCACAGCTCACAGGGGAAGGTGCTCTCCGACTGCTTGAAGTGCTCGGTGGTGACGTGGTGCTGCAGCGCCCCGGGGAAGCGGAAAGTCGCGGAGCAGTACAAGCACCTGAATGGCTGGGACCCTGCAGGGGGAGACGGAAGGGCAGGTCGCGGATGGGATCCTTGGAGAAACAGGAACGGGGAGAGGCGAGACGAAGGCGCAGAGACTGAGGCTACGCAACAGACCCCAGCTTTGCGGCTCTGAAGCTTGGAATCCTGGAAGGGCCGACGCAGGGGAGCGGCCCCGGCACGGCGTTTCGTTAGCACTGGTCAGGCCGCACCCTCCGAGGCCCGGCACGGCTCCCACTGCCGACGGCGATGCCGACGGTGCTCTGCTTCACCGCACCTGACAAGCACACTCCAGCGTCTCTGCAACAGGTGCCTCGCGAGTGCTCTGGGCAAGGTGACACCTGGCGCAATTCTCAACGGCCGCGCATGCCTGAACGCCGGAGCGGCAGACTGCGACCTGCAGGACAGGCGTCCACAGCCTGGGGCAGGCCTTTACCTCAGGGGACACGATGCTTTCGGAGGGAGGAGGTAAGCGATGAAGGCTCAGTTCATTGCCAAAGCAGGAATCCAAAGCCGATTCGTTCGACCTCTCATTCAAGAGACTAAAACCAGCGGCCTTCAGCCCTCACCAAATCTGCTCCCCGCGCTCCACCACCGGCAGTCAGAACTGCACCCACTCTGAGGAGCTGGTTTCTTTCCATAATCAATTTATTTCTTACGTTTTCCTTTAAAAAATTATTTTTATTTATTTGAAAGGCAGAGTTACAGAGGCCTTCCATCTGCTGGTTCACTCCCCAATTGGCCACAACGGCTAGAGCTGCATCAATCCAAAGCCAACAGCCAGGAGCTTCTTCCGAGTCTCCCACACGGGTGCAGGGGCCTAAGCATCTGGGCCATCTTCCACTGCTTTCCCAGGCCATAGCAGAGAGCTGGATCGGAAGCGGAGCAACCGGGACTAGAACTGGAGCCCATATGGGATGCCGGCACTGCAGACAGTGGCTTAACCCGCTGCACCACAGCGCGGGCCCCACGTTTTCCTTTTTATGTGCACACACGAGTAAGTGACATGATAAAAATCTATGTCAAGGGGCTCGTGCTGTGGTGACCAGGTTAAGCCACTGTCTGCAGGGCCAGCATTCCATATGGGTGCTGGTTCAAGTCCTGGCTGCTCCACTTCTGACCCAGATCGCTGCTAATGCTCCTGGTAAAGCCAGAGGAAGATGGCCCACGTGCTTGGATCCCTGCACCCTTGTGGGAGACCAAGATGAAGCTCGTGGCTCCTGGCTTTGGTCTGGCCCAGCCCCGGTGGTTGCAGCCATTTGGGGATTGAACCAGTGGATGGAAGACCTCTCTCTCTCTGCCTTTGCTTCTCCTTCTCTGTAATGCCACCTTCCAAATAAACAAATAAATAAATACATCTGGAAAAAGAAATCAATATTAAATTAGTCCAAAACATTTAGATAACCTACATGTGCTAAGTGATAAGAAAACATAATTTAATTGACAGCAGTTGTGTTTTCTTCACGGTTCATTAAAAATGTGCACCTGGCCCTGTAGATCCGATGAAATAGGCAATGACAATGACATTCACGGACGAGCTCGGGTTTTCCTGTTACCTTATGAGGTGGGTATTAAAACCGTCCCCATTTTCTAGATGAGAAAACGAAGCATAGAAGTCAGGGGAGCCGCAGCCCGGGCCGCACAGCTGTGGGTAGTGGTGGTGATGCGACTCCCGCCCAGGCAGTCTAGTTCAGGAATATGGGAAAGGGGAACCAACCTGAATGCTGGCACTTGACGTGAACCTGCAGCAAAGCTGGCGTGGGGAAGAGCTCCTTACACTGGTCACATTCGTGGAACTTCATATCTGGGAGGTGGAGAAAGAGAAAGAAGTGATGGCAAAGAACAGAGGACGGCTCCGAAGGCTGGGGGTACAGGGCTGTATCCCTAGGGGAGACGTGTGCAGACAGAGCCTGGGACAGCACTGGGCCTGCCCCGGACTGCCTGGACGTGAAGAGGGTTGTGAGGGGGACACGAGAACACACACCGGGAGTGTTCGGCTAGTGCCTGGCATGTAGGACACACTGAGAGCTTGGGATGATCCCCAGACTCACCTGCCAGGTAGGGATGAATAACGCTATCCTGAAGAGGAGCAAGCAGGTTCGGAAAAGCGAGTCCCTTGCCAAGGCCGAGCACCTAGACCCAGCCGGGCCGGACCGCTGCCAAGCCGACCCCCTTCCCGCGTGCAGGGGCTAGAGGAGCTCCCATGCGCGAGGTTTCCAGGGCTGCCTCCGTCAGCCCCAGCCCAGCACACCGGACCGCGCGAGGGCAGGGCTTCCAGAGAGCCCAGGACGCTACGCTACCTGGCCCTGCGCACTCGGTCGGTGGCACCACACCTCACCTGCGTGCTCTGCTTTGATGTGCTTCTTGTGCTCGATGGTGTTGGGAAAGGCTTTGTCACAGGAGCTGCACTGCAGGGACGAGAACTTGGAAGACCGGTGGTTCTGAGCGGCAAACACGTCAGGGTGGTGGGTCCGATTGTGGTACCACAGACCAGATAATTGCTGCAAGAGATTTGGCAAATGTTAGGTCTTAGAAAAGTTCCAGCAACCTGGAGAGCTCCCCTGGTCCTTGTGAGAGAGAAACGTTCTGAGGTGAGCTCACGCAACTAGAGTCGCACTCTCTTACCTAACATACCGAGTGCCCACGCTTGTGAAAACAAGGCAACCACCCGATCTCAAGAGGCCACCGCAGCGGCCTGGTCCTTCATTAAGCCTCACACCTGGCAGCAAGCCCACAAGGCAAGTGTCAGGGTCCTGCCAGTAGGCGGAAGCTGGGGCACTGTCTGATTAAATGATTCCCCAAGGTCACACGATCAGCGAGCAGCTCCAGGGTTAAACCCTGGCCTTCCAGGGGACACCTGTGTTCTTCACCACTGGGCTGCAGCTCTGACCGGGAGTGCGGCAGGGCAACCTGCAGAAGGAGCACGAGAGGGAGGGCCTCCCTTCCCAGGCTCCCGTGCAGCCCTGGAACAGCCGGCCCACACCCGCCCGGGTCTGATCCAGCTCTGAACAGCCGCGGCGCAGCACGAGGCGTGGCCCAGAGTTAGCGGCCGTTTCTGCTGAGCTGGAGTGAGCAGCAGTCTTATCTGCAGGCAGGTCTCACAGGTGCCAGCAGCGACCGCTCCTCTCTCTCTGACCGTTTCTGGGAGACGTGCTTCCTTTTTAGCCCTCTGGGGGTACTTCAAGAAGTTAGTAGGAAACTAAATGAAAAGATAAGTTTATTTTTCTGCCAAAAAAAAAAATTGAGGAGGCTGGTGTTGGGGCACAGCAGGTTAAGCTGCAGCTCTGGGTCGAGTCTTGGCTTTTAGCTTTGACCCAGCTCACTGCTAATGCATTTGGAAAAGCAGCAGCAGATGGCCCTAGTGCTTAGGGCCCCCTTGCTATCCACGTGGGAGAACTTGTAGGCATTCTAGGTTCCTGGCTTCAGCCTGGCCCAGGCCTGGCTGTTTTGGCCATTTGGAAGAGCTGTCTGTCACTCTGCCTTCCAAATAAATAGAACAAAATCTTTAAGAAGCTTATGAAAATGTGCATTATGAAAAACTATGCGTGAATTTCAAAATTTCTTTGCACCATAATAAACTTAACTTTTTTCCCCAAGGTTTTTTTTTTTTTTTTTTTTTTTTTTTTTTTTTTTGAAGTATCCTTGTATATGGTTTCCTATTAATAAGATACCAAATTCCAAGGTAAAAATGTAGACCCCTTCTCAGGAGTTGAAGAAAAAACCAACCAACCAAACAGAAGTGGTGCTAAACCCAAGGTAATTTCAGGAATCATCCTCTCCTGTACCATGACACAGGGGCCAGCACGCTCTGTGGAATGTGAGATAAACAGCACTCAGTTGACGACAAGGCTGAAACTCAGACCAAGGGGCGTGGAACGCTGTGCTGTTGTGACAGCCCCCACCCTGGCCTCACCTGGCCTCGATCTCCTCTAGACCCTCATGGAACCGGGGGCGGGGGTGGGGGGAGAGCTGCCAGTGGCCCCGGCGGTCACCTGGTAGGCCTTGTTGCAAATGCCACAGCTGAAGGGCTTCCCCCCGACGTGGGTCACCATGTGCCGCTCCAGCATGGAGGGTGCACTGAAGATCTTGCCGCACGTGGGGCAGGGGTGGTACTCCTTGGAGTGCACCTCGTGGATGTGCTTCCGGTGGTCCTGCAGCGTGGGGAAGCTCATCCGGCATTTCTTGCAGTCATAGGGGTCTTCTATGTCTGGTTCCGCGAGGGACATCCATGCAGGGAAGAGGCAGAAGGAAAAAGAACACCACAGATGGCAGTCAGTGCCATGCGACTGCTATGCCTGGCAACAGGCCTGAGACTGCTTAGATGGCGCCCGGGACCACTGGCTCCCAGGACGAGAAGTCGGTGCAGCACAGTTCGACTCCCCCACCTTCATCCCGGGAGCTGGGCTTCCTCTAAGCACGGATAGGTCACCCCTGTTGCAGTGGGCACTGGTTTTCACCCACCGCCCAGAGCATCACTGTGCCCTTGGTCTGCAGAGTCTGACCAGAGAAACCTCTCCTTGCTCAAGTTAGGCTCCACCATCGAATCGTTTGCACAGATACGGTTTAATGAGTGGTTTGTGACAGGCGTTGTCTAAGTGCTCTGTCACATTACCGCACTGAATCCTTCCAAGGACCCTCTGGCTAGGGTCCATTCTCATCCCTACTTCACAGATTAGGAACCCGGGGTTTGGAGAGGCAAGCGAGTACCTTGCCCAAGGGCACAACTCGGAAATGACTGAACTTGGCAACAGTCCTGGCTTCGCCCTGCAAGTCCCTGCTCTGTGCCACAGCTCACCGGGACCAGCAAGTCCTCAGGGAGCCCTCCCAGAGAGACCTGGCCCAGCGAAAGAACACATTTGCCACCCTCATGACAACCAACTTCAGCCTTTGTTTTGTTTTGTTAAGCAACAGAAACAGAAAGCTAGATGTCCTACTAATAAAACCCTCCATCTACAAGGGCTCAGCCTATGGAGCCAGTCTTGCATACGCGCAGAGTAATTCCGCAATCCTGACACGAACCTCTGGTGTCGTGAGCTAGCTGCCCTGTGGATGCGAGCTCCTGGAATCTGTTTACACTGCTGTTCTCTTTTCAAGGACTTATTTATCTATTTGAAAGGCAGAGGGACAGAGAGAGGGTGAGACACAGAGAGATCTTCCATTCACTGGTTCCATTCACTGCCCACAGCCGCCAGGGTTAGGCCAAGCCCAAGACTCCCTTCAGGTCCCTCCTATGGGTGGCAGGAACCCAAGGACTTGAGTCCGCGCCCCCCCAGGCAGCCGAGCAGGGAGCTGCATCAGAAGCGCAGGGTACCCAGGACGGGAACAGGCGCTGCTGCATGGGATGCCGACCCCAGCACACGGCGCGGGCCCCTACACTGCCTGTTAAGACTCTGATACGGGTTTCACAAGCAGCGATCTGTCCTGAGGAATGGTGGGGGGGCCGGGGGGGGGGGGCTAGATGCCGGGTCTGCTGCTGCTGATAGATTCTGGGCACAGCCAAGTACTCTGGGCCCTTCTCCATTCTGAAAATGAGTAGAGTCTTCCCCTCTCCTGACCCCACATAGTGGAAGCAGACGTCATTTACAGAGGCTGGAAGACATCAGAATGGCGGTGCTGGATCTCAGTCATCGCAAGTTTACTGTGCCTGGATTTTCTAGGTAGGCTTGCAACCTCCCTGGGGAATAGGGGCCGCACTTTATGTTCCCCCGCAGTGTCTAGCACCCAGCCACGTGCGGGGCACACAGAAGCTGCAGCCAAGTCCCCGCTGGCCGGCTGGTGACGGACTTGGACGGTTCACATAAGCACACGCTGTGAGACGCTGTATCTGCCAACAGCTAGAAAGTGGTGTGTGGGAAGCGGGGTGAGAGACGGGTGTGCGAAACACACAAACGGCACCCGACGGGGCTGCTCTTGTCATCAATAGGCCTGGTGTTTGGTGAGCATTTTCTGTCAGGCAGGGAACTCCATGTTCCACGTGAACTATCTCGTTTAATTCTTACAGCCATCCAAGGGGACAGCACTATTATTTGCTTCGGCTTACAGAAGGACTCTAAGAGGCTTATAAAGGAAAAGTTGTTTAAGGTCTCCAGGAAGTTAAGTAGCAGGGTCAAGATTCAAGCCCACGCCTGTGTGATTTCAGTCTGAGTTCCTAGCACCCTGCTGGGCTGTGCTGATTACACTCGGCTACAGAGAACGCCGCGTGGCCAGACACACAGCGCCCCCACAACGTCCTGAGCGTGAAATAGGAATCACAGAGCTTCTTTTTCCTCCCTGTGTGCTGTGTTTTGAATGAGAGTGTGTTCTTGTCTGTGAGTTCTAGCAGGAGGAGTGGAGGATGGGAGCAGGCCACACTATGAGCAAATTCACAAGGGAACACTGGGCAAGCGACCACCTGCGATGGTGGACGCGCCTTGCAGAGTGCCTGGGATTCTTCCGCACGGCAACGGGATGAGCCCAGGACGGAAGCGGGCGGGGGTGGGGAGGACACGGCAGTGTGGCGACTACCAGAGGCATTCCCGTGTCTGCAAGCCCCGCAGCTACAAAGGCAAGAAAGCCTTCACACATGATTTGTCAGTCAAGGAGGCCCAAGAGGAAGACAAGGAGACCGGCTGCACAGAGCGCGATGCGTGGCGCACGGCGCTGAGGCAGAACAAGCCTCCTCAAAGACAGGATGAGGGACTCTGGGTTCTGCAGGGAAACACGGGAGGGGAAGGACCGAAAGGGACCCGGTGCTGGTGGTGACACCTCCGTCCCAGCTGCCGCTGAGCGCCCGCCAACGCACGATCTCGGGACATACTGTGGAAGGTGTGCAGGTGGATGGAGAGGCCATTGGCTTGCCGGAAGCCCTTGCCACAGTCCCTGCAGACATAGGGCTTGTCCCCGGTGTGCGTCCTCACGTGGCGGGACAGCTCAATGGACTGGGCGAACACGGCATCACAGTACTGGCAGGCGTACATCTTCCCTGCAAATACAAATGAGCGGTTAGAGCAGCATGCACCATTCCCGGCACTCCTACAGAAAGGCAGATTCTACGCCACGCCTCCTGGGAGGGGCCCTGAAACACCAGGTGGTCTGCAGCACACTGGATGAGCAGGCTGAGCTGTCGCACGCTCCTCAGACACAGTTCTCACCACACAGGAGGACCCGTCTGGTTCTCAGGCCACTCCTCTCCCAGCCAAGAGGTATCCTAAGTTCAGAAACGCATGGGCTTGGATTCCCTTGACACACATACAGTGCAGCACCACAACTGCACACACAGCTAAGGTGTGGATTCCGAGAAGAATGAAAGCTTCCTTCCAGCGACTGGCTGTGCAGTGTCACTCCATTTCTCACGCACGCGATGAGACTGTAACCCAGGCACCCAGTGAGTCTGGAGAAGAGCATCGCAAACAGCGCTGGGTCGAAGGGCGCCCCACTAAGGGTCCCCTTCTCCTGGAGCAGTCAGCCTCATTTTATTTTCGACCTACTAAGCACAGAGATAGGACTGTGTAGAAAAAAGGGGCTCTTGAGTGAAGAGCTGCAATTACTGAAAAGTCTGGGGCTCAGTCCGTGACCTTCCGGGTGGCATCATTTTCTGGGTGTGCTCATCTCACAGCCCCACTGGCCATCCACAACGACAGCTCCCACATTTCCCGACTCCAAACACACATATCCAATCCCTACTGCTTTACTGCTGTATGTGAGGGCTGGGAAGTCTCCCAGATTCATTATATCCCAAACATATTTCCTGATGCCGTATCCCCACCCTCCTATAAGCCTCCCCCCCTCCCCCCAGTTTCTCCCACCTCAGTAAACAGCAGCGTCATACACGTAGTTGCTTATGCCCCAAACTCCAAAGCCATCCTTAATTCCCACCTTCCCTGCGCATCTATTTCCGGAGTCCCGTCACTTCTACTTTCCCAGAGATCCCAAACTTCAATGTCTGGAAACTTCTCCTCACTGGACTTATGCAACAGCCTCTCATCTCCCTGCTGAGCCCATCCTCTTGCCCTAGCCTAACAGTTTACTGTCAGCCAGATTCAACCTGTGAGGAGGTAAATCACATCCCATCAGGACTGTGCTTAGGTTTTCCTATGGCTTCCCATGGAAGACAAAATACTGGCCCCCAAATGATCCCTGAAATCCATGACACACAGCCAAGGCCTTCATGGCTGGGACTGAGCTAGGCGCTCGTGAAGCAGCTGTAGCAGTCATGGGGCCTGCAGCCACGGCATGCAGGCAACCTCAAGAAGACAGAAAGGCAAGGAACCAATCTCTCTTCCGGCGTCCAGGAGGAACACAGCTTTGCTGACACTTTGATTTCAGCCTTGCAAGACCTCCAGAGCAGCCAGAGACTGCACTTGCTACAGCAGCAGCAGTAACGGACACGCTTCACAGAAAAACCAAAGGTCCTCACACCTGGGCTTGCTGGGCCCTTCGGGGACCTGGCTCTGGTGATCTCTCTGGCCTAACTTCCACCACTCTGCCTCCCTGCCTCTGCTCTAGCTCCTCCTAGTTTTCCGTGGCCTCTCAAGCAAGGCCAGCTCATTTCCTGCAAGGAGAGGGCTCTGCACTCATGATGTGCTTCTAGGTCTTCCCCTGGCTACCCCTCTCACCCCACTTGGGTTTCTGTTCCAAAGCCAGCCCTCTGAGGCCCCCAGAGAGTGCCAGCGCCTCCACCCTGCATCCCACTGGCTCACCCTGCTCTGTGTTCCCCCGCAGCAATGACTCCAGCTGAATTTATATCACACAGCTGTTTGTTTATGGCCAGTCTCATCCCCTGTGAGAGTATCTACATCAGCCCCATGCCTGCAACAGTGCTCAGGAAATGCACTCAGATGCAAGAATTTATCAAGGCCTACTATTACCAAATGTCATTCTAAGTTCACCCAACACAGCAGCAGGGAAAAAGAAAACTAATAGGCCTCCCTTCACAAAGCTTGCCTTCTAGTAGGGGAAGACTGGACCTGAAATAAATGGATACTATGTCACATGATAAGTACTATGGCAAAAATTTAATGCAAGGAAAGGGGCTGGGTGCCGAGATTCCCCTAGGGGTCGAGGAAGGCACGGACGGCGTGAATGCGGACTTGGAGGCAAGGAAGGAAGCACGCACGCAGGCGGCTGCAGGGAGCTGTCCCAGAGAGGGACTGGCAGGAGCAGAGGTCCTGGAGCCAGTGCCTGGCAGGTCTGAGGCCTCGCAAGGAGGTGCAAACGGGCAGCAGAGTGTGGGAACAGCGGTCAGCCCAAGAGAAGCGAGGAGGGAATCGAGGGACAATCAGGGAGGGCCTGGCAGGCAGCTGTAGGGGTTGTGACTTCCACACGGAGATGAGAAGCCAGGCAGGGTTCTGAGCAGAGGCAGCGGGTACTTTTTCAAATCCTGAGCAAAGGAGACCGGTGAGAAGGCTGCTGTGTCCATCCCTGGACGGCAGCACTGTCCCTTATGCTTCCACGCACTGCACCGCCCTTCCTCCAGCTGCACCAGAAATGCCCACTCCACTCTGCCCGGTTGCCCGGGCACCAATCCCATCACCACCTGCCCGTGACTGTCTCAGTACTCCCTGCCCGCTGAGACGCCAGCTGTGAGAGCAGATTCCAGCTGAGGGGCTCAGTACCTGGCATCACCTGATCCACAGCAGGAGCTCAATCAAGGTCTGTCCCATGCTCAAGTTCATCTCAAAGCTCCTAGAATTCCTGGCTGTATGTAAACCCTAGAACAGTAACACGGTCTTTGTTCAGAAACTCTCACAGTAGGCATTTCACACGCCTGTGCACACACGTGTTCCTAGTTGTCTGTGTGTCTGGAGGCTCAGTTCTGGTTTTGTTTTTAGCCCAATTCCAAACGGGTGCTCGGGCAGCTCAGGAGAGCCGCTCCAGGAGCAGCGAGGGGCTCGCCCATGCCTCACCTTCTGAGTGTTTCTTCTTGGTGTGGTAGGCCAGGGCAGAGGCTTGGGTGAAGGTCATGAGGCAGTGTTTGCACATGAACGGGCGGTCCCCGGTGTGAAGGCGCAGGTGGTTCTTCAGGGTAGAATTGGCGGCAAACTTGGCGCCACACTCCTCGCACGAGAAAGGTTTCTCATCAAAGTGCTCCGTCAGCTTGTGGTACTGCATGCCTGGGGTGAGGGGAGGGGGAGGGTTGGGCCAGGGACCAGAAAACACACAGGAATCCACGTCACGGGGCCAGCATGGGGACGCCCAATTCTGTCACAGGCCAGGCCGCAGAAGGAAGCAAACATGAACCTGGGGGCCAGGCCGTGCCAGCTCCTCCCTCACATAGCCACGCTGCTGGTCTGCCCACCACCCAGCCTCCCTCCTAGTGAGATCAGGCAGACAGCGACGCTGGGCTTATCGTCCCCCACCCTGCTGTCCCTCTTAAACAGGACCTAGCCACCCGGAAAGAGGGAAACAAACCTCCTAAGTTTCACTACGCTTATCCAACATCTGGGACGTGGCAAATAGTTCTGATGTACAGCCCGCGGTTTCTGTGACTCGTTTATCATGAAGGGACAAGTACATGGAAATGTGCAGGCCAGGCACTGAGCAGCTGGTTACAAGCATGACTAATAACAGCCACCAGTTACTGCGGGCTAATCCTACTCTGAGTGCTGTACTGGTGTTCTACTCTAAATCCTGAAAAAGGAAGTGGTGTCAGGGTAGCCGCTTAACAGGCAGGGCGACCGAAGCGCAGGGCTGCTCCCACGGCCATGCTGTCGTGCCGACACTGCCCTGCCGCCGGACGAGCTGGGCGCCTGTGTCTGTGGGGCCCCTCCGTGTTCCTCACTGCACACATCGGAGGCAAGGCCTGGAACCCAAGTACCACATCCAGAGGACGTCAGCCCTGACTGTACCTGAGGCATGGGCGAACTCCCTCCCACAGAGGTCACAGGTCACCGGGAGCCTTTTCTTCTTCTTCTTGGGGACCTCAGCCTCGCCGCTGGCACCGTGGACCTCGAGCTGGTGCCGCTCCAGGTCCTTCTTGGACTCCCTGGTCTCGCTGCACTCCTTGCACTGCACCTGCTTGCTCCTGGCCGCCCGGCAGCGCTTCTCGTGCACCTTCAGGCGGCAGTAGAAGTGGAAGCTTTTGTCGCAGGCCTTACACACGAAGCTCTTCTTGGCAGCGTCCGGGGAGGCAGAGGTGTCTTTCCCCGCAGGTTCTGGCGAGGAGCCAGCCTCTCCCTGACCGTTCTGTCCCCCAGACCGCCGGGCGTCTGCTGCTGGCTCCGCCGCCCCTGCATCTTCTTTGTTGCTGGCTTCCAGGTGAACTTTGTTGCTCACCTCCCACGCTCCCTTCTCTCCGTCTTCCTTAGTAAGGAAACCTACACAGGAGAGAGATGTTGTGGCTCTGGAAATCTGTTTCTATTTTCCTCTAGAACTTTGCTAATACACTCTTAGAGGACACTGGGGACTGCAGAGTGCATCACTGTCACCTGTACTTTTCCAGTAAACACAAACAGCATCATCTTTCACCTGTGTCTCCAGTCGGCTGGGACTGGGAGCACGTAAAACACCAAGTGACTTAAGGCAGTGAGGAGCCCTTACGTGAACCACTGCCTCTTTCCTCAATAAAGAGACAAACAGCCCGGGAGCCTCACAGGCCCCCAGCCCCACTCTGTTCCTTACCCAGCAACGCTAACTCCTGCATGACGGGCTGCAGGCCTGGAGAAGATTTATGGACAGTGCACAGGAGGTGACATATTTCAGTGACGGAGACTGACTTGTCCGTGGCTCTGCTCAGCACCGTTTTCAGGGAGGCTTCAGGGCTGGCTGTCTCAGAGGAAACGCTCAGAGTCTAGACGAACACCAAAGACAAAGTGCTGGGTTAATATCAGCAGATTTTTCCATGGTTTTCAACTTAGGAAAAAAAAAAGCGCTAATAGCAGGAAAGCAGGAAGGCACCACTAAATCTCTAAGGAGTTTATATTTCTTATGATAAATGTAGTAGAGAACCTGCTTTCACAAAAAACACCAGGGAAAGTAGCAAACCACAAACGGAGCACAGACCCAGACCAACGCGCGAGCACCTGCAGACACAAGCAGGGGAGCGCGGAGGTGTCCATGAAACACTTCTCAGAGACAGCGCTCCTCAGGGCTCTGCCGGAGCTCAATATGAAACCGGGGAAAATTATGGAACTGGGGTGCTTCCATTTTGAAGCTCAGGATAATTTTTTTTAAAGATTTATTTATTTATTTGAAAGTCAGAATTACATAGAGAGAGGAGAGGCAGAGAGAGAAGTCTTCCATCTGCTGGTTCACTCCCCAATTGGGCACAACGGCCAGAGCTGCGATGATCCAAAGCCAGGAGCCAGGAGTTTTTTCCGGGTCTCCCACACAGGTGCAGGGGCCCAAGGACTTGGGCCATCTTCTACTGCTTTCCCAGGCCACAGCAGAGAGCTGGATCGGATGTGGAGCAGCCAGGTCTCGAACCAGCGCTTATATGGGATGCCGGTACTTCAGGCCAGGGTGTTAACCCACTGCACCACAGCACCGGCCCCAGGATAATTTTTCATAATAGACAATTGTCTTCATGTGTGGAAGTGATTCTGTACAATCACTAACTTCAAAATTTTAGATATTTAGAGGGACCTCCCCCCTTTTAAAAAATTTATTGACTGATTGATTAGAAAGGCAGAGTTAGAGAGAAGGAAAGATGATTAGAAAGGCAGAGTTAGAGAGAGGGAAAGAAAGAGAGTGAGAGTGAGAGGGAGACAGAGAAGTATCTTCCATTTGCTGGTTTACTCCCCAAATGGACAAGCAGCCAGAACTGGGCCAGGCTGAAGCTAGGAGCCAGAATTTCATCTGGGTATCCCACGTGGGTACAGACGCCCAAGTACTTGAGCCATCCTCTGCTGCTTTCCCAGGTGCATTAGCAGGGAGCTGGATCAGAAATAGAGCAGTCAGGCTATGAACCAGTGCCATATAGGATGCCAGTACCACAGGTGGTAGCTTAACCTGCTGTGCCACAGCACTGGCCCCAAATACGGACATTATTTTCTTTCATAATGAAACAGTGTTTCAAAGAAGGTTCAAATAGGGGCTTTAAAGAGAGCAAGAATATAATTTCAAAGCCATCCTCTTTCAGAAAGTTAGAGCTATCAGCAAATTCAGTACACTGAGAAAACAAAGCTAGTCCACCCACAGATGGCCAAATGGAATTTTCATTTTGGAAGATACTTTATTTCTGCTCTTTTCAAGTCTGTCTAAATAAACCCAATGTCCCCAAAGGCAGCCATGAAACTAATTAGTGAGGTTAAAACCCCTCAGCCGAGAAGCTGCATCTCCGACGTGTGTGGCATGGGGGAGTCTCGCAGATGACTCTTTCGTCTGATGTCCCGAAGAAACACAAGCCATCTTTGTCAGCTTCAAGAGTCAGACCAAGGTGTGGCTAGGCACAGAGTCAGAAACCAGCCTTCGGCACTCCCATGCCTGCCTGGGCCAGAAGGGCACCACAGGCGAACTCGTAGTGTAATTCTGTGTTCCTTGGTTCTTCTTCTCTCCTTGAGATGCATGTGATCCTGGTCTGGACATCCCTGGATTCCCCTCCAGCCCCACCTGGCTTTTCTGGTGCTGGCCACATTGTGAGAAGCCTTACAGAAAATGAGTTGGCATTATTTGCTACCCCATATGGGAAAAAGCTTTGTTCTGTGTTTATCTTGGCTCTTTTAGGAGCCAGAATAGAAGGTGTAATACGATCAATTTCATTTCCCCTTATCTGAGAGAAGACGCTGCTTACAACACGCTGGAGAACACTGTCCTTGTGTACCTTGAGTTTACCTAGGTTTAGACGAACGAAACGAGTCCAGATTTGAGGCACATGGCCCTGGATGAGTCCTGGCTTCAGGTGCAGGCACCGTGACACAGTGGGCTCAGCGGAAGCTTGAACCTACACAGGAGTGCCGGAGACAGCCCTGCCTCCTCCGCTCCCTGCTATGCGCCTGTGGCATAGGTGATGCCCCAAGTACTGGGTCCCTGCACCCGAAGGGAGAGCTCCCGGCTCCAGGTTTTGGCCTTGCCCAGGCCTGCCTCTCTCAGGCATTTGGGAATCAAACCAGCAGACGGAAGATTTCTGTGTCTCCCATTTCATCACCCTGCCTTTCAAATAAATAAATCAATCTTTCTGGGGGACAAAAAGTCCCAGCTTCATCTCTTACCTGCTGGAGCATGCTAGACATGTGAATTACCCTCCTGGAGCCCAGGCTCCCTTGGCTCTTAGATTTGGTAGGTCTAAAGGAGTCAGGCGGTTTTGACACCAGCTGAGCACAAGGCTGGGCACAGAGCCGGGGCTGTGCAAGCACGGTCCCCAAGCAAGCAGGAACGAAGGCAGCCCCAGACACCCACTTGGCCAGCGCCCTGGACCGTGACCTGCTTGTCCCCCCTCACACCTCGTTCACAGCCTCCGCCAGGCGCTGCTGCTCCGGGGTGAGGGACTTGAGCTCCAGCCTTTGCTGGATGGCCTCTCTGATCAATCCGCTGTGCCTCACGACTGCTTCTAAGGCAGCACTTTCTGGAGCGGTCACTGCAAGAAAGGGGATTGAGGGATCGTTAAGAGCTCAGCTCCTTCCCTCAGCTCTTCATAAGAACACACTTCACCTGCCTCCCATATAGCAAGGCAATCAGAATACAATAGCGAATGTAAGTTTAGAGTTTACAACGGCTTTTTTGTTCCTTTAAATTTACAAACTACGGTGAGCTGGAACAAAACTGCCAGTCCCTGAATCAGGGCCGAGATGTGGACAACGACTGCGGGGGAGCAGGCGGATGATAATCTCTGGTGGAGGCAACACCACGCAGAGGTCAGGTAACTCACCTGCCCGGAAGAAGGCATCTGCACCAGGCTCCCTTCGTACTTGTTCCATGAGCAGGTTCAACGGGCAGGACTTGGTTTCCTGAGCCACCAGCAGCAACTGCCAAATGGCTGTCGCAGAGAGGGTCTGCTTTTCTAGAACTGCTGACGTCAGGGAGCTGAATCCCCCTGAACCACGGTCACGTTTCACAAGCTCCTCCATGACCTTCAAGATGCAGCACACACGCACATGAGAGACGCAGTCACACCCGGCCCGCTGCAGGGCTGCCAGCCTGGAGACTGGCCGGCAGTGCAGGTGTTCTGGTGGTGGGGGAGGGCAGTTTCCAACCTCTTTCACCTCCCTCAACCTGAGACCTCCCATGCAGGACGGAGGTCTCCATTCCTGCTTCTCAGTGCCTCTCCTCATCACCACAGGAAAGACAACCACCCTAGTTGCTACCCTACCTTAGAAACTGAGTTAATTTCTATGATTCCTTCTCTACTCAGTATTTCTCAACACAGCTGTGCATGTACATTTATGGGAACAGAAGCATAAGGGTAAAAAGTTTATGGAAGATGGAATTAGAAGATGTTTGTTTTGGTGCAAAGTTTGAAATCCATGCAGTTTCAGGAAACGAACTGTCTGAAGCCCCCGTGTGTACACACACACACACACATACATTCTTGTTTATTTTTGTTGTTTCCCTCTCATTCCACTTCACATCCCCTCTCCCCAGCCCCGCTCACCTCTCTTTCTCCAGGGGCTAAACCCCTCACATGTGAGATCATCTTTAGTAACATCTGGTTGTCTGTGAAAATCTCAGAGAGGTTTTCCTGATACCGTCTCAACAGCTCCGTCCCATAATCATCAGGGCTCGACTGGCCTGTGAAGATGTGACCAAAACAACGCGTGATGCGACAAAGCCTCCTCAGTGTCTCCTACAGAAGACTCCGGGATGTTACCGACGAGAGAGGAAGAGAAACCTGCCCGCGAGCTGTCTCCTCTGCAGAGCTGAGCCCAACTCCCAGCTGAGGCCTCACACAGCTGGAGCCAGATGCCTCTGCTCTAACTTAATCATCTGATGCTTCAGGGTCATAAAACCACTAACACTCTGAAAGTTGGTGCCTGGTGGGAGAAGCTGGGAACTGCCCACAGCGGGGTAGTTAGAAGGCTGCGTTACTGAGATCAGATGGGCGGATTCAAGGAGTGTCACTCACACGGGTGCGGCCCGAGGGAAAGCACCCATGTGGCACTCCAAAATACAGCAGGCAGAGACGGTGCGTGAGGTTGACCCAAGTTCTGCTCAACGTCCTTGGAGCCAATCTGGTAGGGATTCCCATTTAAGAGGTCATGTTTATTTCAAAGTGAAGAAAAGCCAAGTTTCCCTTAGGTTTGTGGATATTTAAAAAAATTTTTCACCTCTTTGTCCCAGCAACTCTACTAGAAACCAAATCTTAAGAAATTATCTGAAGGCATAAACAAAACAAACCACATACGACGACAACTGGAATTGCATATGTCTGTGGTGATGACCAGAATACTAACAGCTAATGCTCATCTCAGTGCCCACTCTGTGCCAGGCACTGGGCCAAATGTTTCCTAAGAACTATCTCATGGCAGGCACACATATAGGATGGGTGTGATAGGCACCAACTTATCCCCATTTCACAGAGAAAATGAGGTCCAGAAAGGTTAAGTCACTTGCTCAGGGTCACACAGCTATAAAATGAACCCATATTTTGCATACACATTCTTATGTGTGTCTGCATACACATCCTTATGATGGGAAGTAAACAACTGCCAGAAAAACAGAATTGTATTGTTTAATGAGGGAAATCCTAAGAGTAAAAATATGGTAGAATTTCAATACTATAGAAATAATGCAATAGATCAAACATGTCAAAATGTTGATACTGACATACTTTAATAGGATTTAGGTCATTTTCTTCTTTACTTCTTGAGTTATTCCAATTTGAACGAGTGTAAGTTAGAAGAAAGTTCTTTCCCTTCCCGAATAGCCTTCTCCTGAAATCCACCTCGGTCCTAACTGTTCTAGGGTAGGACAGAATGGCTCAACCGGCAGTCTATCTAAGGGATGGGATGTGGGTTCCTTTCCCCCAGCTGAATGGACACAGACAGAAGTCAGTTCTGGGACTGCTGCAACCAGGCAGCTCTCAAGTGGGTATGGGGCAACCAAGCTTTTGAGTCTCTGCTGCTCACATCTGTCCACCCGGCTCCTCCAAACGCTCAGCCTGTGAGACTGCTCCTTTGCCTTTCACAGGTGATCCTGGAAGATCCTGGGGAAGCTGTATGTTAGTCAACAGAACCAGAGAAGCACCATGAGGGAGAAAAGTCATCCTCAATTTCAGCTCTTAATTTTGGCAATATTGAGAATTGCTGATTTTGATAGCTAGCTTCTGTTTTGCAATGACATTTCTGAATATTATCTTATCTCCCCCAGCACGAGCCAAAAGGGTGCTGTGAGCCATAATTTTCTGCAGCAGTAGTTCCAGCCCAGAGAGTCAACAATTAACGAGTACCTGTGGCACTGGGCAGAGCAGCTAACCTCTGCAAATTCTCCAGCAGAAGGCCCAAGTTTGGGAACGTCATCCTCACGGCCTGGAGGAGTTTTACCACGCTCTCAGCAGTCAGGGTCTTCTCTTCAGACATTCTGTGCAACAAATTTTCTATCGTCTCCTTGGGTGTTCCGCCCTCACAGCAATTCAGAATCACCTGCAGTGGCAAGCAATCATCCAGACACCAGTGATGGCAATTGGAAATGTATCTGACACTCCACTGGAAACCCCAGCAAGCTGGCATTATGGGACACTCTGTCTCCACATCCTCCCCCCATGGCCTATAGCATTATTTTTTCCAGTCTCTTCCTTATTCCATTTCAACAACAATCGAAAAAATTCTCCAAATCGCACTACGGAAACCTTTCTCAATGGCAGATCAGTGCAGATGCTTTTTTACTCGCTTGCGTTTTGTGGAAATATTCTTACACGCAGCCTGCAGGACCCTGCGAGGAGCTTTACATCCAACCTGGTTCTTCAGAAGAAACAGAGACTGGCAATTAATTAATATACTTACAACGCTTTTCAGTCTCTGCTCAGTAAAGTTCAAGATACTGGTGTAGGGCCGATGCCGCGGCTCACTAGGCTAATCCTCCGCCTTGTGGCGCCGGCACACCGGGTTCTAGTCCCGGTTGGGGCACCGGATTCTGTCCCGTTTGCCCCTCTTCCAGGCCAGCTCTCTGCTGTGGCCAGGGAGTGCAGTGGAGGATGGCCTGAGTGCTTGGGCCCTGCACCCCATGGGAGACCAGGATAAGTACCTGGCTCCTGCCATCGGATCAGCGTGATGCGCCAGCTGCAGCGCGCCGGCCGTGGTGGCCATTGGAGGGTGAACCAACGGCAAAAGGAAGACCTCTCTCTCTCTCACTGTCCACTCTGCCTGTCAAAAAATCTAAAAAAAAAAAAAAGATACTGGTGTAGGTTATAATCACAGCAATTCTATTATTTTATTTCCTTTTACCGTATCAGAGTGGTAATTTGAATTCCCAGATAATCTGTGTACTGCATTAACAGACGGCCTTTCTGGATTATTTTCCTCGTGAGCTGTTTATTGCCCACTCCTTGCGTTCTCAATGGCCACATGCATCAGTCTTAATTCAACAATGCTACCCCCTGCTCTCCTCTGGTATGCAAGGGGATTTTCTCAGTCCAAAGGGCATAGGGCTCTAGCTAAAGGTAAAAAATAACACATACACACACACACACAAACCCACGAGATATTTCACAGATGTTTTCCTATTATAAGAGGACTATTTCTTATCAGACTACAATGGGCTATGTATGGCTTGGCTCTCTCTAACTCTCATGGATTCGATAAAGCAGGGGACTATTTTCATACTTATACTCCACAGATCCAAAGCAATTGAACTATGAGCTTGCCCTTGGGATGTGAGCTCTCAGGAGAACAAGTCAAGCCAATCAGTCATGGCAGCATGCCAGAGGCTGCCATTATCAAATTAACTCTCACTATAAGATAATGCATTTACCTCTTAAAACTAAATTGGTTTTCCATACATACGCGTGTGCACACACACAATATATCTAGTTGTTATATTCCTTGTCAGTACAGAAAATCATGCTCTTTAAGGTCTAAATATACAGTAGATTAACTAAATGAATCATAATTTAACAGCTTATATGTAAAAATTATACCAATTTCAGTGCGAAATCTTAGTTCCTAAGCCATAACCTGATATACATGAGGCAGCCAGTAAGCATTTATGGGCCTTACAGTCAGATCCAGTTGAAACCCTAGTTCTATTATTTATTGTTTGTGTGACCTTGGGCAAGTTATTTAATTCTTTGAGCCTTACTTTCCTCATTTGCAAAAGAAGTAGCAATACCAACTCTTGCACAGCTGTTATGGGGGTTCCGTAACACGAAGCTGCTGTGGCCCAGGCTAGAGCAACGCCATGGACATGTGTGAGCTTCAAGAGGTAACAGCAGCGTTGATACCACTGGGAGTCGAAACGCAGGGGTTAAGAAGCTGTGCTCTGATGAGAAGCCCAGGTCCCTGCTGAACTCGGGTGAGCTCCTTAACCTCCCTACGCTTCTGTCTCCTCATATTTCAGGTGAAAATAAAATCCATGACTTAATGTGCCTGGGAAGCAGCAGAAGATGGTCCAAATACTTGGGTCCCTGCCACCCACAAGGGAGACCTGGATGGAGTTCCTGGCTCCTGGCTTCAAACTAGCCCTTCTCAGATTTGCAGCCATTTGGAGAGTGAATCAGTAGATGAAGATACTTCTCTCTCTCTCTGAAACTTTGCTTTCCAAATAAATAAATAAATTCTAAGAAAAAAAATAATAACAACAAAAGGTCCTCAATAGGGGCTGGCATTTGGCACGGAATGAAGTTACCTGAATTGAGTTCAAGGTGCCTGCTTTGGCCAGGCCTAGTCCCTGGCTTACGTAGGCACTTGGGGAGTGAAGCCGAAGATGGAAGATTTCTTTCAGGTAAAATTAAAAGAAATAAAAATTTTTAAATGTCCTCAATATATTGCTTGGCACACAGTCAGCAATAAACAGAAACTATAGTAATTCCTATTTTTTTTATGTCTGTTTCCAGTCCTGACATAAAAACATTTCTATTTACTGTTTCTTACAAAAAGAAACCAAAGCATTTAAGGATAAGAGACAGGGCACCCATAAGCAGCATAATTTCATCATGGAATTAAGTTCTAGAAAGCCCAGTTATACTTTCAGATGATGTAAAGTACTCTGGCTATTCAATCAACATTCACCTCTACACTCCCATTTTATCAGTTTGCTTCAATTTTCACGAGAAGGAATAGCTTAATGAAGATCTGGTGGAACCCCAATCTTAAGAAGTGTTTTTGTGATTTATAACTAATTCAAGTTCTTCTCTTTCAGCTTTTTGTGTCAAGTAAACTGAAAGTGACAGAGAAAATGACAGTGTGGTCTCTCTTGCTCAGACAACAAGGCTAAGTTTGGGCTCTACCTATGAATGCCATTTCACCAAGATAATGAAACAGTTCAAAGGACACATTCAATCTAGCTAATAAGGAAAGGGTTTGAATGAGTAATTGAATGAACTCACTAAACAGGGAATCAGGTACCACGACAGCTATAAGCAACTTACATAAACTGAGTGCCTGAAAGGGCAATCTGAAGCAAAGGAGAAAAGAGGAGTGCAATCTCTTCTCTGTATCATTTTTCTCTAAGACATTCAAATAACATAGAGAGTTCACAACATAATTTGAAAAACAGTTTTGAGATTAAATGTTTCCATTTACACACACACACACACGCAATAGAAGATCAGAGAAAAATAAAATCTGGGATCCAGTCCTATGAATCCAGCACTCAGCTATATTAGTGTTTTCTCAACTTCTTCGCTGCTAAATATTTAAGTCACCCCCCTCCCCAGTTTTAAGAATTGATGCCACAACAGTCCTCTATCCCTATTCTTCCCTTCCAGATATAAAAATATTTTTAGCACAAAGTTGAAATCAATAGCACCAACAACTACAGTTATCTAGTTGCACTGTGCAGTCCCGCCAGCAGTTTTATGAGGATTTCAGATGCTAGCTGGGGGGAGAGCAAATCGGTCCAACCTTCCTGAAGGGCAGTCTGGCAGCAGGCACCCAGCAGCGGGAAATGTTATCCTCTCTTTCCAAAATGCTACTTCTGGGAAATTATTCTAAGGAACTAAGTTGAGAAGCTTGCACACAAAGATATGTTTGCAATGATGTTTTGTGGAGTACCAAGTATAATGGCAAAGAAATTAAAAAACAAAAGCCCAACGATAAGGAATTAGTGAATTACGGTATACCCATTAGAATATAACACAGCTACAAAAATCCACATTGTACATATTGAAATAGAAACGTACTAACATACTAAATTCAAAACCCAGTTAGGAAGCCCTGTGTTCTGTATAAACTCGTCCCAAGATGACTCAAACAAGGAAGAGTGGGGACACTCGCTCCAAATGGTGGCAGTGATTATCTCTGAGTAGTGAAATTTGAATTTTTCTTATTTGCTTGTTTCCCAATTTTCTACATAGGGTCATTTCTGTAAAGAGGAAGCGTGTCATCATAATGACAAATGTGCCTCACACTTTAACTCTTGTGTGCCTGTTTATAACAAAACTTCCCCGAGTGTGAGCAGGAGAATCGCGTACTGGTCTGCCTGCATCCAGCGACGCGTTAACCACTGCTGCAACGTGCACAGCTCTCGAGGCTGCTGCAAGGGACACGAAGGGGTGCGACACGAGAGTCTGGATTCCGAGGTATTGACTATATACCAGGCACAAAATACCAAGGTCAAAAGTGCTATGTGCGGCAGACCTGGTGTTCACTTGTTTATTTTTTAAAGTGCTGTATGAGTGAGGAAGGGGGAGGAGCTACTTGACAGTTACCCTTTTCTCAGTGCAGGGCAGGAATCCCTCCTTGGCTGTTTCCAGGAACTCCATAATGGGCCTCAGCTGTGTCACACACTGTATCAGGCCCTCTTTGTGTTCTAGTAATAGGACAGACAAGGTCTTTCCCTGCTCCGTGCTCCCTGGGGGAGAAAGAATTAGAGACACACAAGAGAAGCTAGTCAATTTGAAGAAAATGACAGCATGGTTTGTCAAGAGATCTAACAGAATAGTAAAGTGATTCTCAGCCTATTCTGAGCACCTGAATGCAGAATTGCTTTTAGAGAGGAAAACACTTTATTATTCTGTTTAAACTCTATGAAAGGAAAAATGTTTCATTTATCTGTCGAAGCACAAAGCTGGAGAGGCAGCCAGAGGTTAACTTTTGGTTGGCAAGGCCACTGCTTTGTACCTAACCCAAATGAGAGAAGCACCCGCCGTTAAGTGCTGTCAGTGAACCAGCTCACCCTGGGCACTCAAGCCACGGATTTGGCTATGTGGCTTCTGAAAGGCAGAACACGGCTGGTATTCTCCAATGTTAAGGTAAGAGACTAGTTAACCAGGGGCTATAAATGGAGACTCAAATTTAGTTTGTAGATATTTAACATGCAGCTTCTAGAACTGGGCCCAGAATGCATATGGAAGCCACTTAGTGACTAAGCCACTGGAGGCAGGCACCTTTGGAAGGAATGAACATTACAGCACCCACCTGTGGGAAGCCCTGTTTCTGCATCTTTGGGTGTTCTGTGTAACAGAGCTGCCTTGACTGCAGGATTAGAATCCTGGCACAGCCTCAACAGGGACACAACAGTCGAAGCATCCAGGCTCTCCTCTCTTACTTTATTCAGGATTCTCTGAAATGCTGAATGTCCTTCACCCCTAAGACATTCCACTAGGGTCTGTGGAACAAAGGAGAGAGACATTAGCCAGGAATAAGAACCCCACAGGCACTTTCTCCCCCACTCCTGCTGTCTCAGGCTCCCACTCTGTCCTCAGGGAGACCCTGACTCCCGGCATGGACCTTGCTCAGGGTCACCTCGGCCGGGGAGCCTTTCCCACACACAGGCTTCCCCTCTTTGTCGCTGCTCCTGATTCCGATTTGTCATGCGCTAGGACAGTAACTTGCCTATTGTTCCCTCCTCCTAGAGTTCTTCAAGACAGGGCTTGTATATTCCAGAGCTCTGTATGCTCAGCCACTAGCACAGCCTGCTGCCTAATAGAAGTTTGGTGAATTTTTAACAAACTTCATGCATGTCTTTCCTAATTATACCTCTGTGGATCTTATGACATTTTGAGTATTTCTTGGACAAAGATATCTGAATTTCAAATTTGATAAGCTGTCATTTTATTATTTGAGAATGCAATTAAAATCTCACAATTTATGAAAAAAGCACACTTAAATCATTTATAATATGAATGACAATTTAGAAAGACATGGGTCTTACTACTTTCAGATAAATTCTGTAATAATTAAGGCTAACAACATGTGGGCTTGTAGCTGTCAGTTCTAAGCACATACAACTCACATATTAAGTACCCCATGTTAAGCGCTTCCAATCTGAAGGGGCTTCAGAATTTCTTAAGCAACAGTCTACACAGCAGGCCTTGCCTCTGGCCTGGACCGCTTGATCTTTCTGCGGCACGTGGCATTCCTATTGCCTCTAGCACCGTTCTGCTCTGCCCTCGTGGGCGTCCTGGGTAAGCCCGCTCACTCCTCTGCAGCCATCCTCGCTGGTTCTTCCAAACGCATAACCACAGGCAGCTCCTGTGATTCATCCGGATCCTTCATTGTTTCTCCCTTTGTACTTCTCTCTTAAAAATCTCTAACATGTACGGCTTTTTTTTTTTTTTTTTTTTTAAGATTAAGCCAGGAGCCAGGAGCTTCTTCTGGGTCCCCTACGTGGGTGCAGGGGCCCAAGGACTTGGGCCATCCTCCACTGTTTCCCAGGCCACAGCAGAGAGCTGGATTGGAAAAGGAGCAGCCGGATCTCAAACTGGCGCCCCTATGGGATGCCGGCGCTTCAGGCCAGGGCGTTAACCTGCTGCGCCACAGCGCCAGCCCCACAGGCACAGCTGTAACTTTTACCTTCTGCAGGTGACCTTCAAAACAGGCTCCAACACCCACCCCCATTTCAATCTGCACAAACTGGTTCCTGTAGGCCATGCCTCGTGCTCCAGAGGTCTCAGGGCCACATGTAAAACCCAGCTCCCCGTCTGGATGCTTCTGCCTGGTACTACAATATCAACAAGCCTAGTGGCAAAAACATTCCAGTCAGCATTCCTCTCTTTGGTCTGACAGACTCTCTCACACAAATGGGAAGGAGGCCACCCCACCCGGAAGGGAGATGCTGATGGAGCTCCTGGCTCTTGGACTTGGCCTGGCCCAGCCCTGGCTGTCCAGGGCATTTGGGGAGTGAACCAGCAAATGAAGATGGATCTCTCTTTTTCTCTCTCTACTTTCTGGATAAACACATAAATAATAAAGTTTTTTATGTTTGTGGTCATCTCCAAAAGTTAGCTTAGATAAAATATAGTTTAATGGTCCACATTAAGATTTCATTGGGGTAACTTACATGAACCTAAGTTAACTCATTTTTCTCTATCAAAAAGAAAAAAAAAAAAAAAGAAACGAGGATATCATTAAAAAATGTATTTATTTGTTTGAAAGTCAGAGAGAGGGGAAAGACAGAAATCTTCATCTGCTGATCACTTCCCAGATGGCCACAACGGCCAGGACTGGGCCAGGCCAAAGCTAGAGGTCAGGAGCTTCATCCCAGTCTCCCACATGAGTGGCAGGAGCCCAGGTACTTGGGTCATCATCTGCTGCTTTCCCAGGCCATCAGCAGGGATCTGAATCGGAAGTGGAACATCTGGGACTCGAACCTACGTCCACATGGGATGCAGGTGTCACGGGTGTTGGCTATACCTGCTATGCCACAAAGTCAGGGTCTCCCACATTTGGTAGCAGGGGCCCAAACTTTTGCACCACCTTCCACTGCTTTTCCCAGGCCATTAGCAGGGAGCTGGATCAGAAGTGGAGCAGCTGGGACACAAATCAAACCAGTGCCCATATGGGATGCCAGTATTGCAGGAGGTGGCTTACTCGCTGTGCCATAACACCAGCCCCACGAATATCATTTAAATGGTTAATCCCCTTTAGTCAAATTAATTCAATGTTCATGCTTTTATCAGCTGATCTATTGTCTCCTTAGAGCACCTTTTTGTTGCTCATGTGCGGCCCTGAGATAGCAGACTCCAAAATGGCTCTGGGGGACTTCCACCTCCGTATTCATCCATGCCTACGGGCTGACTGGCAAGACTGCACGAGTAATGGGATACTTTTTTTTTTTTAAAGATTTATTTGAAAGAGTTACAGAGAGAGAGAAGGACAGTCAAGGGGAGAAAGAGAGATCTTCTATCCATTGGTTCATTCCCCAAATGATCACAATGGCAGGGGCTGGGTCAGGCTGCAGCCAGGAGCCTGGAACCCTATTCTGGTCTCTCACATGGGTGACAGGGGCTCAAAGACTTGGGCCATCTTCTGCTGCTTTCCCAGGTGCATTAGCAGGGAGCGAGATCAGAAGTGGAGCAGCCGGGACTTGAACCAGTGCCATATGGGATGCCAGTGTCACGGGTGGTACCTTAGCCTGCTGTATCGCTATGCCAACCCCAGGATGCCACTTGTGAGGTCAGAACATCATGACTTCCATCTTGCACATCTCCATGCACGTGCTTCTCTGCCCATGCTCTTGGAGAAGCCAAGCGGCCATACTGTGAGCTGACTGAGGTAGAGGCCCACATGGCAGGGGACTGTGTGTTCAGCCAACAGCCTTGAGAATGGAAAAGGAAGAGATACTCCCCAGCTGAGCCTTGGCAGGCAAGCTGCCATCCTGGAAGGCAGCCCTACAGGGGCTGAGTCAGAGCACTCAGCCAGGCTTCACCCGTATCCCGACCCTCAGGAACTGTGAGGTACGAAACGCGCTGTTTTCGGAGTAATTGATGAATTACAGTTACAGATCGTAAGGCGGACCCACCCCGTGTAACAGCCCTAGTACACACGCTTCCTCCTCTGTTTCCCCCTCACTTCCTGCGTCTGCTTGTGCACCTGAACAGGTCCAGCACATGGCTTTCTCAGCCTGCCCTAGGCTGCTTTCTTTTTACTTGAAGTTCTCTGAGTAATCCAAGCCCAGCTCTCTCCTTATCCAATTTGTCTGGCGTTATTATTCGAGCTAGTGGGGAAGAGCCGCCTTCATCAATGGTGGCATCTGATGTGCTTCTTATTATCCCTTCTGCAGAACTACTCAGCAGTGAAATTAAAACATTTGTTAACTTCACTGCACAGCAGTGATGCGAGGGTGACCATCTGGGAAGAGAAGCAGGAGTGGGCCGATGAAAGGGCCAGGAGGGAGCAGTCAGCTGCTGGCACAGTTCTGCTCTCCAGTCTTTGTTCCAGAACCTTCTGGGCACCCACACCAGACCCAGCATTACCGTTATTACTCCACTGGCCGCCCATGCTGACTGGGGCTCCACGATGGAGTAAGCCCTTTTCAGAAAGAGTATCTCTGCCTAAACAGAAGGGCGTCACACACTGTGACAGGCTGAATCATGTTAACGAACTCCAGGAGCGGAACCAAAATGGAGTCTGCCAAAGTGGCTCAGTTCTTTCCCCACACATTTGGAACTCCTCTGACTCTCTGGACTTACAGGGACTTTCATAAATTCAAGTTAATGTATGGTCACACAAATAAAATACTCATGTATAAATACAGGGGTAAATCTGGGAGGAACCACTTGGTGTCCCCTCAACTCGAGGCTTCTGGGTGATGTACCTGCTTCCCCCAAACGTGCGCTTCCTGCCCTGGCAGCTGCGTGAGTTCCAGTCTCTGCCTGCTGACCCAGGCTCCCAGAATGCGAGGGTCAGGCAATGGCGAGAAGCACCTGAGCACGGTCACTCAGCACCGCCCGACACTGCAGTGGTGTCACTCCACTTCAGACACACAGAGAGCTTGAGTCACTTGTCGAAGGTTTCAAGGACAGTGTAGAGCAGTCTGGATGAAACTGCACGCTCCCTAGACCTGAACCCCCTTTCACTCAGTCCTAGCTCCCAGATGTGGAGTGGAATCAAATCCTTTTAGACTGCATTCTTTTGGACTTATAGATTCAGCATTGACTTTGAACACTGGGAAATATCTAGATAATCTGTACCACTGCTCAATGATTAGTTATGGAGACTGGGACACGGTAGGTATCCAATGAATGTTTAATTGAATGGAATCCCTTGGCCATAAAACCATTAGCTCTTCTATCTATGGCTGCATATCTCCAGACTTAATAACTGACAGAGAGGAGGTTGGGAAAAACCACAACTTATTTTCACCTCTCATAGACTTGCATAACCAATCCCATTAGCTCACTCTTAAGAGGGTTACCCAACTCTGCCAGTGAATACAGTCCTCAAAAGAGAGGCCTATAACACTGGACAAACCTCCCAAGCAGTGAAATGGTTGAAAACACCAGATTTACCTAGAAGACACTTGTTTGCTTTTGAAATAAAGTTGAAGGAGAAAAAAATATCACTAGGTCTTCAGCCCTGGGAGTTTTTCTAGAACTTTAGGTAAAAAGTGAGTTAAACAGCACAGAAACCAATAGTAGGAAAAGTTACCCCCTTATTCTAGTCCAAGATCCACTTTGCTTTATATGCAATTCATTACAAGCAAGGACACGGTTAGGAGGAAAGAAGGACGACAATGCAAAGTCCCAGCACAAAGACGGAAGGAGATCTGAGCTTGGCTTCACATCAGCTTCACTCGGCTTAGTCAGAGCCTCCCAGTTCACTCCTCGCTTTTTCTAATGGGCAGGGGATGTTATGCCAAGATGGACAAGGCAGAGGCATTTCCCATGAGCCCTCTCCTTCATCAGTTCTGGCTTTGCTTTCACATGATCCACACAGCTCAGCCTCTTCTCGTGCTGCTGCAGTCACTGCTCAGGGAGTGGCTTTGCCACCTTTCATCACTTATCTCAGGACATAAAGTAATCACGACACTGGTTCACGACATCTCTCTAAACTCAATCCAGGCCACCAGCCCCTGCCCATCTAGCGTTCAGAAAAGAAACTGGCTATTTGACCCACCTCAGCCACAGCCCCCGTCACTCCGAGCCTTCACAAGCTCCAAAATGCTGTATCCCTTGGGAGGCTCCTTTACTGACTCTCAAGTTACGTTCTCATGACGACCCTGACAACCGCCACCAACTGCTGCCAACCACCAACAAAATCATTCAAAGCCATTTGGGAGCTAAAACTGTATAATTAGAAAAACAAACAAAAATCTTCAAACAACCTTTAAAATTGTACTGACTCAAAATTAGGCTGCTCCCAGTGCACAGTCCTTACTACTGTCGTCACCGAGGTCTCCTACGACTGCTGCACACGCATCCCCACAAAGAATCGCAGGACTTCCTTGCCATCAAGACACCGTAAGGACAGGGATTGAGTCTTACATTTACTTTCCTGGTACAGAGCAATTGCTCAGTAAACATCAGCAGGGTCAAGGGGAAGCAACACTTGTGAAAACATGAGTATTCCATGGCCTCCCACAACACCAGGAAGTACCAGCAGATACACACTAAGAGCTCTGTTAAGCTGTTAACCTCTCCAGCACTGCTTCTCAAAGAGTGGTCTGCAGATGACACCACAACCAGCAACCCAGGGAAATTTGTTAAAGATTTGTTAGATTCCCGGGCAGGCACTGTGGTGTAGAGGGTAAAGCTGCTGCCTGCAGTGCTGGCATCCCACATGGGTACCGGTTTGTGTCCCGGCTGCTCCACTTCCGATCCAGCTCTCTGCTATGGCCTGGAAAAGCAGTACAAGATGGCCCAGGTCCTTGGGCCCCTGCACCCACATGGGAGACCTGGAAGAAGCTCCCGGCTTCAGATCGGCGCAGCTCTGGCCATTGTGGCCATCTGGGGAGTGAACCAGCGGATGGAAGTCCTCTCTCTGCTTCTGCCTCTCTAGCTCTGCCTTTCAAATAAATCAATAAATCTCAAATTTTTAGATTCCCAAACTCCACCACAAGGTAAAGACTGGGTTCTGGAAATCAGGCCATGGAGACTCACATTTTAACAAGCACACCAGGCAATACTGAACATCACTGCACCACTGTGCTACAGACTCACAGCTTCACCTCATACCAGACAATGTCCCTGCAGCACAGAGCGCTGCTTCCGAGTGCGTGGTGGCGCCTATTTGAAGTACGCCTTACAAATTAAGCTTGAAGTAGCAGCAGATCATCTCCTGTGTCAGAAAAGATGACCATGGAATAAGATATTAAAAGGCATTGGGGAAAATGGGCATTTTGAGGTCTATTAGGTCCAAAAGTACAGAGCTACTAAATGAACAACAGTTGCTACTTAGCTGCTACTGTGTGCCTGGAATTTTACTGTGAGTGTTGTATAAATAATCTTTTTTTTTTTTTTTTAAGATTTATTTATTTAAAAGACAGAATGACAGAGAAAGAGGGAGAGATGTAGAGATCTTCCATCTGCTGATTCACTCCCAAAATGGCCGCAATGGCTGGTGCTGGTTCAGATTGAAGCCAGGAGCCAGAACTCCATCTGGGTCTCCCACGTGAGTGGCAGGTGTCCGAACACCTGCATCATCTTCCTCTACTATCCCAGGCACGTTAGCAAGAGTCAGATTGGCAGCAGAGCGCTCTGGTATGGGATGCCAGCATTGCAAGCTGTGGCTTTACCTGCTGCGCCACCATGTTGGCCCATTAAGTAATCTTGATTAATTTACTGTGATCCTCTATGCAGGATTTTTATAAATTAGGAAGTAAGGCCTATAAAGACTCAGTTGTTCAAGGTCACAATGCTAGTAATTGGTAGAGCCGGGTAAGAATGCTATGTCCTCACAATGGAACACTGCCCAGCAATAAGAAGGAATGAACACACAACAGCTTGGATGGATCTCAAAGTAATTATGGTGCATTAGAGAAGTCAATGAAGACATATTCCATGATCCCATCTATGTAACACCCCAGAAAACACAAACTAGTCTAGTCTACAGTGACAGAAAGATCAGTGGTTACTGGGAAGATGGCTAACTGAAAGGCGGCAGGAGGGGCATGATGAAGAAACTCTTCGCGGTGCTGCTTCATTGTGGAGATGGTTCCAGGGCATATATCACAACTTCTCAGGCTACGTACTTCACGGAGGCCCCGACTCCTGCATGGCAAGCAAGCTGCTATGAAGCTAAAAGTGCCAGAGAAGTGGAGTGCCTAAGTGCAAAGTGGCACCTCCCCAACTCCATACTTAATGTAATCTGATGTTCTTAAAGCATCTTTTCCCTTTTTTCTTTCTGGAGTTGAAAGATTTATTATGGACTCTAACAGAATCAATTTTAAACACAGCAGCCAAGTAGTCTGTAGAGCTCTTACTCTGACCTCTAAAACCGGAGAAGAAACAGCATAAGCCTATAATGATCACCAACAGAGAATCTCTGCTCTTTCAAAGTACTATTAATGTCATTGCCATCAAAAGATTAGAACAAGAACTGGGAAAAAAGAAAGAAATGTTGAATGAGTCCATCCATGTATAACAGACATTTCTTGAGCGCCTATTATATGTCAGGCACTTTTAGGTACTAGTGTTAGGAAAAAATTTCCAAGACACAGTTCAAGTAAGTATAGAGGTGATGTTAATAATTCGATCCTGCTAATCTAGGGAATAATGTTGCTTCTCTGTAGCCAAAGGAAAGCGAGAGGAAACCTTAAGAGAGAAAATGAGGAGATAAGGCTGTAACCTATCAAGGAAAACAACAATAATAACAAAGCAACAAAAATGATGAACAGTTAGGAGGACAAGCAAGTGCAAAATATAAAAAAAACTTAATGTCCTTCAGCATAACAGGTACAGTGTCTCAACTGAGTCACTAAAAACCGAAAGGTCAGCTAAGAAACACAGCCTGATAACCAGCGGGCAGTTCTGTCAGGCAATTCTGAAACCTTCACGCCACATGTACCATCTCTGCCCTGCTGGGATGCAGTACAACTCAGAAGGGAACAGCTCTGAAGGCAGACGCTTAGGTCTGAATTCTGGCTCAGAGTCTCAGGAGCTCTGCCTGTGATATCTGCCAAGTTACATCACTGCTTTTTTTTTGTTTTTGTTTTTTTGTTTTTAATTTTAAATTTTATTTGAGAAGCAGGGAGACAGAGAGAACTCCCATCTGCTGGTTCACTTGCCTAAATGCCCACAACACCAAAGGCTAAGCCAGGGCCAAAGCTGGGAATGTAATCTAGGTCTCCCATATGGCTGGCAGGAACTCAACTACTTGAACCATCACCACTGCCTCCCAGGGTGCACTGTAACAGGAAGCTGGAGTCAGGAGCTGGGAATTAAACCCAGGGACTCCAACGTGGCACAAGAGTGTCTTAACCACTAGGATAAATGTCTGTTCCTGTGTCAACTCTTTGAGAAAGTTTTCTCATCCATAAAACAGAACTAAAAAATAGTGCCCACTTAATTATGAAAGAATGGTATCATCAAAGAAGAATTCCAGAACAAAACTAACTGCCAGCTAGGGTTTGCATGGTGAGCAAAACGGGTAGAATACCCCTTATCCAGAATGCTCAGGAACAGCATCATTTCAAATTTTAGACTTTGGAATATCTGTACAAGCTTTACTCCTTCAGTAACTCTGTCTGAAAATCCAAACCCAGGGGCTGGCACTGTGGCTCTGCCCTGGCACCATGTGGGCGCTGGTTCGTGTCCCGGCTGCTCTCTTCCAATCCAGCTCTCGGCTGTGGCCTGGGAAAGCAGTGGAAGATGGCCTAAGTTCTCGGGCCCCGGCATCCGCTGGGAGACCTGGAAGAAGATCCTGGCTCCTGGTGTCGGATTGGCTCAGCTCCAGCTGTTGTGGCCATTTGGGAAGTGAACCAGCAGATGGAAGACCTCTCTCTCCCTGTCTCTGTAATTCTGCCTCTCAAATAAAAAAGAAATAAATCTTAAAAAAAAAAAAAAGGAAACCCAAACCCAAACCCTCTGCAAGGCGCCCACAGGACACTCAGCAAGTTTCCGGCTTTAGAGCTTTCCAGACTGCGGGTCTCTGGATTAGAGATGTTTATGCCCTGCACTTCACTGTGCGAGTATTCTGCCTTGTACTTTGCAAGACTGACCTTGAAGGAGGTCAGAAAATTTAAAGCTTACAACACCTGCAGCCCCACAGTAGTGTGCATTTCCTCCAATGGCAAACTAAAATAATATCCTGAGAACATGAAACCAGCAAACAAATAAAGCTCAGAGATGCCTACCTCCTTCTGCGGGCCTTTAATTTCTGAACATTCTTCTAGTCTTTTTAAAACATCCTGAGTAACCAAGACTGCGTCTGAGAAGACACTTTCATTTTCCAGAAGGAAATCCAGGTGGCAGCGCTGCCTCTCACATTCTGAGGTAGAACACAATAAAATAAGTCAGTCACTAATCCCGTGAAGCAGCTGAAAAGCTGAAGCTGTCTGAGGACGCTCAGGTCGCAGCTGTGTCCCAGCTCCCTCCTCTGTTCTCTCCTCAGCCTGGTCGCAGCACGGATCATCAGCAGAAATTGCAATCCTGCTTTTGCATGCTGTAGTTCACCTCCAGCCTCTCAACCGTGGAAAACACAGGCACTTTTAAAAGAACGCCCCAGTAAGGCACTGTACTCCATCTTGGTTTCCTGCCTCAAAGAAGTATTGGGTAAATTTATCAATGAAACAAACAAAAGCTAATAAAGATCATGGAGCCTGGTAACTGACAGAAAACAAAGCAATAAGTAAGCGAGTGTTACCTGGCTCGGTGCTTGCCTCCTCTGCCTCACTAAAGGTCTGGACAACAGGGGACGGGCAACGACTTTCAGCGGTCGGAGAAGGCTCCACTGGAGCTCCTGCGCCACCCACCGTCTCCTGACCACTGGCAGGGTCCACCCCGGTGTCCTGTGGAGCTGCAGGGGCTGCTTCCTCTGCCTCAGCTTTCACAGGGCCCCCAGCCGTGGCAGACACCTCGGCGGGAGGAGGTTCTGTAGAGGAAAGAACTTCTACTTCAGACTTCTCCGATTCCTTCCCGGGCGGTTCGGAGGCTGGCGGAGACACATCCCTCACCACCTGGCCCTGGACAGAGCAGCTCACGAGGCTGGTCAGAAGGTTTTTACAACTCACGGCCACATCGAACATCTGGAGGCTGTCGGCTAAGGAGATGATTTTGGAGAAGTTGTGCTTGCCCACAGGCAGTCTGCCAGTGTACATCATCTCCAACAAGAGGGCAAACTCCTCAGGGCTCACCACACTCGCATCAATGGAGATGGTGTCTGTGTTGTCCAGCAGGGTTTTGAACAGGAGGCTGGCTGCAGCCAGGACGAGCTTGTGGGCCCTGAAGTAAATGGTCCCGATGGAAATGGTGCAGTCACAGAACTGCTGCTCCTTGCACAGGGTGTAGAGCTGCTGCAGCAGCTGCCGGCTGTAGTTGGGGAGCTCCATGGCGTCAGCCCGGCCCCTAGGCCCTCTCTTCCTCTCTCCTGCCAGAGTTCGCGGTGAGGATCAGTCCTGGGGAAAGCCACAACACCGTGTTACAAGTTCACAGAGAACACCTTGAATGAAATGCTCAACAGACAAAAGCTAATTTCACTCCTTCATTCAACAAATGTTGCTCCACAGGGAGGGGCAGTGCGCCAGGTTTGCTGAAGTAATAACGGCTATTAGCAGGTGTCTACGTGGGCGGGGCTCGTTTGTGCTTTACACGTGTGATCTGCACGACTCAACGCAAAGGTCCTGTTTCCTCCCCATTTTACAGATGTGACTAAAGTGCACAGGGACAGAACGAAGCGCATAAGAGAAAGCAGACAGTAAAACTGAGTGCCGGCCGGCGCTGCGGCTCACTAGGCTAATCCTCCACCTGCAGCACCGGCACACTGGGTTCTAGTCCCGGTAAGGGCGCCAGATTCTGTCCCGGTTGCCCCTCTTCCAGGCCAGCTCTCTGCTGTGGCCCGGGAGTGCAGTGGAGGATGGCCCAGGTCCTTGGGCCCCGCACCTGCATGGAAGACCAGGAGAAGCACCTGGCTCCTGGCTTCGGATCAGCGCGGTGCGCCGGCCGCAGTGGCCATTAGAGGATGAACCAACGGTAAAGGAAGACCGTTCTCTCTGTCTCTCTCTCACTGTCCACTCTGCTTGTCAAAACAAAACAAAACAAAAACAAAAACAAAAAACCTGAGTGCCACACTTCAGTGACTTCAAAGCTGCAGCCACACTCCAGATGCCAATCCTGGCCCCTAGGAGCTCTCAGCCCAATGGAGGTGACAAACATGTAGGCACAAACTTATGATGACGTCCTCCGCTTCCTCGATCTGTCCACAGCATTGGCCGGATGTCACCATTCCCGCCCTGGAAAACACACTGTGTGCGGATTCGGCTCCACTCACTAGCCACACCTTCTCAAGTTTCCCTTGGTGTCAACTTGGCCTCTAATGCTCAGAGTGTCCAAACTCACTTATCCACCTTTCAGCTTCTCTCTCATCTGATTCTATCACTTGGAAATATCACGCAATGCTCACAGCTGTTGGGCTTCTGTCTGCTCCGCAGCCCTCCCCTCTGAACCCCAGATGATACTTCCATCTACCTACTAAACCCAAGAGGTTTCTGAAACCTAAGACGCCCAAAACTCTCCTACCATCTTCCTCAGTTCACAATTATGTCCTAGTTGTTCAGACTAAAAATCTAGAAGTCATCTGTAGTCCCAGAATTTTTTTTTAATTCTAATAGCCTATATCCAATCCTTTTTATTTTCTACTGGCTCTACCTTCAAAAAAAATGTAAAAAAAATTCAATCACTAATCACTACCCACTGCTGGCTAGTCACCTCACCAGTCTCCTGCTCCGTACCTTGCCCTAACTTCCATCCTGTAGTCATGGCCAAATCTGTCACGCTGCACAAAAGACAGTCTTAGGGGAAAATTCAAGGTTCTCATAACGATCTACCAACTCCTTCATGCTCTGGCTGTCTTCAGCTTTCTATCCTCATCTACCACCTAACCTGCTCCCAGGCATGCTTCAGTCTCCAAGTTGCTTCTTAAATGAGGGTAATTATAAAAGTTCATGGAAAAAGGAAGTTTATTTTGGCATAAAATTTTTTTTGAGATTGATATAGTTTTTACATATACATATTCCATGAACTTTAAAAAGTATTTACTTATTTGAGATGGGGGTGGGGAGGGAGAAAGAATGCAAGCTCCCATCCACTGGCTTATGCCCCAAAATGCCCACAACAGCCCTGGGCTAGGAGCCAGGAACTCAATTCAGGTCTCCCAATGAGTGGCAGAAGTCCAATTACCTGAGCCATTACCATGGCCTCCTAGGATTTGCATTAGTAGGAAGGAAGTCAGAAACCAGAGTCAAGTTTCTACCCCAGGCACTCTGAGAGGGGACCCAGGGGTCTTAGCTGGTATCTTAATTACTGGGCCAAATGCCCACACGCCTCCCTCCCCCAGTGTGCATGGTTTGCTCTCTCACTATCATTAGGTCTCTGCCCAAAAGCCAAACTATGGGGCAAAAACCCCGAAAGCACTGGTCACTGTGTAGGGACATAGGCTCACCAAAAGACTGAGACCTGGGGCCTGCATTGTGATGCAGAGGGCTAGGGCACCACTCAACACTGGCACCCCGAATTGGAGTGCTGGTTCCAGTCCCAGCTGCTCTGCTTCTGATCCAGCTCCCCACTAATGTGCATGGGAAGGTAGCAGAAAATGGCCCAAGTACTTGGACCTCTGCCTCCCATGTGGGAGACCTGGATGGGGCTCCTTGCTCTTGGCTTATGGGGAGTGAGCCATCAGATGGAGGATTGACTTACTTTCTTTCTCCCTTCTCTCCCCCCACCGCCCTGTCAGTCTGCCTTTCAAATAAAAAAAATTAAAAAGAATAAAAAAGGCGAGACCTAATCATCCTAATTGTGGACTACAGGATATTCTCCCCAACCCCTGGCTGCTACATTCCTACAGCCATCTGCAGCAGCTCCGTGCATGCAGTACAGCACGTCAGCTTTCAACAAAAAAGTTACAAGGCATACTAAAAGGCAGACAGTGTGGTTTGAAGAGGTGAGCATCAGAACCAGACTCTGACATAGCAGGAATGTTAGAATTATCAGACTGGATTTTTTTTTAGAGACTTATTTATTTGTTTGAAAGCCAGTTAGAGAGAGAGGAAGGAGAGGCAGAGAAACATCTTCTTCCATCTGCTGGTGCACTTTGCAAATGGCCACAGTGGCCAGGGCCGGGCCAGGCTGACGCCGCGAGACGGGAGTTCACCCAGGTTTCCCATGCGGGTGCAGGGACCCAAGTTTCTGGGTCCTCTTCCCCTGCTTTCACAGGTGCATTAACAGGGCGCTGGATCCAAAGTGCAGCAGTTTAACCTGCTACACCCCAAAACTAACCTCTAGACTAGGAATTTCTTAACAGTATGATTAATATACTAAGTAAGGGGTTTAATGGAAAAAGTGGAAAACCCCAAGAAGAGACGGATAATGCAAATGGAAATACGGAAATTCTAAGAATAAGAAATTCTAGCAGTCAAGAACATCATATCAGAAATGAAGCACCTGATATCACCCCATGCCCATCCATGATAAAGACTTTCTGCAAATTAGAAAATAGAGGGGAACTTGATAAAGAGTATCTATAGGAAACCTACAGTTGACACTTACTTAATGGCAAGAAACTAAAAGTTTTCCTGCTAAGATCAACAACACAGCAAAGATATTCCTTCACATAACTGCTTTTCAATATTGTCTGGGAAGTCCCAGCTAATGCAACAAGTACAGGAAATAAAAGGTATAAAAATTCAGAAGAAAGATATCTCTCTTTGTTTGCAGATGAGATGGTGGTCTACACAGGAAATCTAAGAGAATTGTCCAAAAACAAAACAAAACAAAATTTCCTCCTGGAATTAATAAGAAATTACAGTAAGGCTGCAGGATACAAAGTTAATATAAAAAAGTCAACTGCTTTCCAACAACCTAGAGGTGAACAAAAAAAAAAGTCTGAAATTTAAAAGCATCACCAAAGTAAAACTACTTAGGTAAAACCTAACAAAATATGCCCAAAAACTACATGAGGAAAACTACAAAACTCTGATGAAAGAACTCAAAGAACTAACTAAAACAGATACATTCCATGTTCTTGGATAGAAAGACACAGTTCTGTTAAGATGTCAGTTCCTCACAATTTGATGTACAGATTCAACACAATCCCAGCAATTTACTTTGTGGCTCTCAACAAACTGATTTTACAGTTCATATGGTAAGGCAAAAGACATACTAACCAACAGGATACCGCAGGACAAAGTTGGAGGACTGATGCAACCTGACTTACTGCAAGGCCTGGCGCTGTGGCATAGTGGGTTAAGCCTCTGCCTGCAACACCAGCCTCCCCAAAGGGCGCCGGGTCATTTCCCGGTTGCTCCTCTTCTACTCCAGCTCTCTGCTTATGGCCCAGGGAAAGCAGTGGTAGATGGCCAGAGTGCTTGGGCCCTTGCACTCATGTCGCAGACCTGGAAGAACATCCTGGCTCCTGGCTTCAGATCGGCCCAGCTCCAGCAGTTGCAGCCATTTGGGGAGTAGAGTAAACCAACAGACGGAAGACCTTTCTCTCTGTCTTTCCCTATCTCTAACTTTACCTCTCAGATAAATAAAATCTTAAAAAAAAAAAAAAAAATCATACTACAGGGGGCAGAGACTGGGTCAGGCAGATGCCAGAAGCCAGGAACTCCATCCATGTCTTTTCACATGGGTGGCAGGGGCCCAAACACTTGGACCATCTTCGGCTGCCTTCCCAAATACACTAGCATATAGGTAGATCAAGAAGTGCAGCAGCCAGGACTTGAAACGGCACTCCTATTGATAAGAGATGTTGGTGTAACAGGCAGCAGCTTAAACCGCTGTACCACAATGCTGCCTTAAGTCAAATGATCTTTGACAAAGAAGCAAAAATGGTCTTTTTCCACAAATGGTATTGGAACAACTAGACATTCACATAGGAAAATACGAAACTAGACACAGACCTATTCCCTTCTCAAAAATTAACTCAAAATGTATCCGTGACCTAAATGTAAAATTATAAAACTGTAAACTCCTAGAATATAACACAGGGGAAAACCAAGCTGACTTTAGGTGTGGGGACAATTCTTTAGGTATAGCAGCAAAGGCATAATCCATGAAAGAAACAATTGATAAGCTGAACTTCATTATAATAAAATAAAAACTTCTGTAACAAGCAAAGTCAAGAAAATAAGAAGATAAGCCACAGATGGGGAAAAATATTTACAAAAGATTCATCTGATAAAAGACTGTTACCGAAATATACAGAGAACTCTTAAAAATCAACAAGAAAATGAACAACCTGATTTTAAGAATCTGTAAAAAATGTGAACAGAAGAAAGATTCTTCACCAAAGAAGACACACAGATGGCAGGTGAGCACACGAAAAGCTGTCCCACACTGTGTATCAACAGGAAACTGAAAATCAAACCAGCGAAGATTCCACTGCACCCCTACTGGACTG